CCGGCAAAGACGATATATTTATATGATTCTAACTATATCTTATCAGACAAACAGAACGTGCGAAAGAGGTTGGCGACTACTCATCATGAAAATCTTTCAAAACCCCACGTACATTTGTATTTTGCATTTTTTATTACGACAGTGATTTTTCAGGTATCAACAACGAAAGTTGAATTGTTATTTGGACTTATATATTTGCCGATTTCCTGACATTTTTGTAGAGGCTACCGGTCTATAATTTTTTTGTTTAAGTTTTGCTTCCCCTACCCTTACTGGTCGCCCATCCTACATCAGTAGTAAGTCTTATGGGATATTTAAAAAAATCTCTACTCTACAACGGTCAAACCAAGTCTGGGAAAGTCGAGGATTTGCAAAGTGTTATCATGCGTCTGGTTGGTAGATCAAATGCGAGCAGCTAGGGGAGGTCTAAACATTTCTATGAACACCCTGATATTATAAGAATGGGGACAGCCCCGAATCAACTACGCTGGAAGCAAGCAAACAGACACCTCACATTCAACAAGCATTTCTCTCGTCATCAAGATATTTCTGAAAAGGAAATTAACTGCGCATAAACTGAAAAGGACTGAAATTTTGTCCCTTCAAGCATTACACATTTTTTTTCTTTCTAGGACAATAGTAAGCATACTGTAAGCCCCCTAAACACAATTGACGTAGATGACAACCTTGAAGCACGCTCGCTGAGGGCAAAGTACGACGAAATTTTTCATATCATAATAGAAGTATTTTCAATGACCATGGTTCCAATTCTATTCAACAAAACCAGGGTCATTGTGCATGAATATGTACATATTCACAGTACATATTGTTAGAACGGGTTTATTATATGCACATATCTGCGTTCTTATCAATCATCATCAATACAATTATTCCCAGACTAACATGTAGTATGATATACATGATATAGTCATTATAGTACGTTTCGATTTCAGAACAGAAGGATTTCTTCTCAGCTCATATTGTATCCCGAGTACTTGAGTTTGAGAATGTGAACAATAGATAATAGTCGCACGCAAATTTAAATGAGATAATACGGAACTAAGTTTTATCAACCCTGCATATATCTTTTCGCAATGGTTCATTTTGAGCGAAATCCTTTTAGAAATTTCGATATAGAGCAACGAGAAGAAATTTTTACAAAATCGTGACTTCGGGGAGCGGGACCTGAGATTCTTTATCTTAACTAAAATAATTTTTAACAAAAAAATTCTGTTTAAAAATATTTTGTGTACGGTATTACATTTAAACCAGGCGCTTTTAATACTTAAAGCATTTCGAGGCCGAAGTTCATAGTTTCAGCAAAATGAACAGAGCAATTTATTAAAGCGTCAAAATCTTATCCTTTATGCATTTTGACATTTTTCTTCCGATTTGGATATATCATCGGTTGGTGATAATCTTTAATATTAGAACAACTTTTTTGCAGGAGAGGTGTTACATTATGACTAAAAACACGTTGGTCCTTAATAGACTAACATGTTATAAGGATGAACAAAACTGGGAAACTTGGGGAAAATAGATTCAGACCAGCCATTTTCACGATTCAAGACCGTAGGATTCAAAGGGCTCGACAAAGGGTCGTTGGTCCACCCTAGTTTGACCAGTGGTAGAGTGCACTGGGGCAACACTACAGAACTTGTACTTTGCACATTAAAACTCAGAAGTTTATAACTCGGAGGTGTTGCGGGCGCAGGTCCATAGAAGACAACTAGCTGGGTAATCCAACACCAGCGAAAGTGTAAAGTCAAAACGCATTTTATAACCTTGTAATTCTATATTTTGTCTATCCACAAGTTAGTATGAGATGAAAGATCATGTTTGTTAATTTTTTATATGTTGCATTATGTCATGTGCGTATAGAAGTTGTCACGATATTTATATACAATTTCCATATGTTTACTGGGCTCATAAAATAAAACCAGATAAACATTCAAATGACATATGTATATAATTACCATTGGTGAACTATATTATTAAGTACATAACTAATGTTTGATACAAATTCAGGTTCCAAATTCTTATGAGGGTTAATTTACTCGATTGAATTGGCAGGGTAAGGACTGGGGAGACAGACTTCAAAGCCACAGGGCTACCCATGGAAGATGTTCTTCTGTTCTACTTATATTAGAGTCTGGTTGAGCAGTCTAGTTCATCAAATGGACAAGCAAGTTTAAGCCAAGTCATATTCATCATTGTTAACTATCTTTAATCTATAGGCTTTTAGTGTATTAGAATGGCAGGTATCTGTTTGAGGAGTGTATTTAGGAAGCGCTAAGCGTATTCAGTTTTTTTGCTCTTCATTCGTAATATTTCACAATTTCATTGTACATTATTTTGTTTATTCTATGCTATATAATACTCGGACATTTTTGAAACGTTCAATTTATTTATTTATTTATTTATTTATTTTTAATCTGTTGACAGGGTAGCCCATTCACCAGCAAGTAGTGGTCTTCCATGGGGCCCTGAATGAACATGAACATATACATCGTTTATAACGTTTATACAGAACAGTTAACAAAATAATACTCGTTTGCAAAATAAACATATATTATCAACCTAGTAAACAGTAATGTCAATAGGAAAATATTGATTAAGTCGCAATTATGTAAATAAGTCATGTTAATATTACAGAACATATTACAGAATATATAAACTGCATAGGTTTTAAAGTATCAAAACCCTTATTTCCAGAATAAGTCGGGGGTAATATGTATACATATATACATGAATATATCTCAAACATTGTTTCTATTCCCAAATTACATGCATGCATAAGAGCTATAAGTCATAATCTTATTGTTCTATTCTTTAGTCACATGTATATAGAAACGGCACGAGGATCGGCGTAAAAAAGGAAAATTAACTTTCTCAGGAACACCGCCCTTAAAAAGGAATCATATATATATATTTCATAAACCATCGACTCAGTCGTGATCACCTCAGTACGCAAACAATCACACGCCAATATTGATTTGAATGGATACTAGCAACCTACCTTGTATCAATTTTGGAAAACAGACGAAAAGGGACAGAGTTGATAAAAATAGTTTCAGAACTTTGAATGATGCCATTTTCTCCAGTATTCCCCGCAACATCCACATCTCACACTCCAACTTTCCAACTTCCAATTTCTCAATCAGCTAGCATCCGTATACGGTGGACTCTCACCCGACATTCAGTGTGAATATCCACAAACAACTTCCCGATCAGATGCCGTCTGTATACCCGGAACTATTAAAATCCATGATGTTAGTCTGTCATCAAGTCTCTCGCGAGGAAGCTAATGGCAGGGCAATCAAATCGAAATTAATTTCAAAGAAATTGCATTGACCATTTAAGAGAAGGTTCATTGATTAAAACCCCCCAAAAATTATTGTCATTATTGCAAAGGTGAAACTTTAATTAGACAAGGTTATCAAAATTCAATGCTTGGAAACATTCGAAGTAATGATTATTATCAATTACAAAACGCTTAAATATAGCCCTGGCATATTACCTGAAGAACTCTCCAAACGCTACTGAGATGTGTGACGTCACAATCATGTTTAACATGATTTGCACAAGCAGACGATGTCCAATGACATCTCACACATTTTCAATGCCTGTTTTGTCATCTTCTCTTCAGTTATTTCTTTAATACTTCACTTACCGTCAGGATAAATGTTTATTCAATTGCCTCACTCTAAACCCCGCGCATGGTATTATTTTGATGAAAAATGTGGCGATAAAAAAATAAAGGAATCCATCACATGTAAACGAAATTAGACGCCATTGTATTTTCAGCTGCATACACCGCGATATGTTAAAGAGAAAAAAATGCCGTCCATGCTGTCATTCCGGGGGTTTGTCAATTTGAAAGTTTGGTTTCGTTCACTGTTCATTATACCCCTATCCTGTGTATTTACAAACAAAAGATATTCAGTTATCAAATCGGTTTCATATCCCTAACGGTGTAAAATGCCATAACATTTATATACACTTACCTCATTATAATTGGAGAAATAATAGCATTGCAATTATGTTCATTCTTTATGGGATGTGTTCTGTATTGTTCGTCTTTTATTTTGGCGCTTCACTGCTTTAGTAACATTTGCATTTCGGGAGGTATTTGGCATTTCAGTTTTCCTTCTAATTTGGTACAACAAATTGAGCAGAATAACTATATGGGTCAATTTCTGGCACCGGGATAGGTATTCTACGGGAAAATTACGGGCCAACTGAACATAATACTTGTCATAGAAATTGCAAAGAATACACCTTTTTGTACTTTCGAATTAATTCTCATTTTTCTAATCTCTTTTGTTGATTTAGGATAAAATCTGATGGATCGTGACAAAGATTAGGTTTTTAGCCGATAGTATCGAAAGCATGAATTTGTCGCTTATCATGGTTTTGTGAAACAAGATATGACTGTCATGGAATTGGTTTCTACCTTCTCACAAAAGTTTGCAACATTGGTTTTGCCGGAAACACAAATACATGACTATGACTGATTTCGCAGCTCAATGTTGACGCTCACTTTACGACAATAGGGGCTCGGGCTGAATCACGACTACACATTTATACTTGAAAATTAAGCCTAGGCTTGACTGCATAATGCATTTAGATGTCTTTTTTCCAGCATTTTGTTGGTCGAAGTTGCACCCTGTGTTGAAATTCCTGCAGCCGTAGTTTAAACTGTTACTGCGCATAAAGGATGATGACGTCACCAATTGACATTAGGGACTTTTAGATTCGCACGAAGACAATGGGGATTGCTACGGTCGACGTCCTTTTAATGCACTGCCGTGAATGGAAGTCACACGTATCAGTCCACGCAAATCTAAAAGTCCCTATTGATTAGTTTAGTGTACTTAGGCTTGTGCAGGGAGTGTGCTGAATTTAGCTTCACCCCCGCGCTCGCCTTTATACAGTAATCGTTATTGTTGTTCAATTTCAAAATCACGTTTTATATCTGAAAAAATAGAAGAAAAAAGCCTGCACTTTTGAAATAATTGTTTTCTTTTCCTTTAACAGGTTTAGGAGAACAATATGATTGGGCTACCTTTGAAGATGGATTGAAGCTAGCCAAAGAGAAGTAAGTTTATGATGATAAGTAGCTTAATCAATTTGGTTAAAATCCATACTTCCCTTATTAAAAAAATACATTATTTTTTGTTCTTTTTCAAATGGGTGATGCTGATTGGTGTACTTTTTCAGTAGGAAATAAATGATTTTCTGAAATAAAAACTCATAGACATAACATAATTATATCCTATAGTTAAAATTATGCCAATTTGTGTGGAGTATTGATTTTAAACTTAAACATACATGTTTTGCCAACTTAAAACATTTCTTGAGCCTAGGTGTTGTGATCTACGTGTGTTGGATAAGCCTCCCTAGCAGGCCAATTATTTTAGAGGGCCTGATTGGCGGGCATATAGTTTTCATACAAGGTCATCAAATGCTGCACACAATTATATAAGGGTGCATATGATGGGAGGGGTTTATTGCTCATAAATTTGCAGTGACCGTGTGACATCACAATGCTTGTCAGTAATTATTTTACCTTGCAGTTGGCTTGCTATAAAAGTAAAATGCTCAGATGCAATCTGAATTTCTTATCAAAGTAAAAATGCTAAGTATAGCCTAATGCTGACGTGTACTGAATTTGATATGGACCTAGGAATATTAAAGTTTTTGAGCCAAAGCATAAAACTATGTACACGTATGTATGGGGACGGGCTAACTCGGACCTGGGACAACTTGGGCGGTTTTTGCAGGTTTAGGGTTAGGTTTAGGGTTTGGGTTAGGGTTAGAGTTAGGGTCAGGGTAAAGTGACAAAAAACTGACAGTTTTTGCAGCGGGGCCGCGTTGTCCCCGGGTCCGAGTTAGCCAGTATCCGTATGTACAGTGTATGTACATGTATGTGTGTTTATTACCATGTGATCTCTAATAATATTGTTCTTTCAGCGACAAACCTATGATGTTGGTCATTCACAAGACTTGGTGTGGAGCATGTAAAGGTGAGTAATCTCACACTCTTCATGTGAGATCGAATGACAGACATATAGTGAAGGAAGCAGGAAAGCTCTAGATGTATATGAGAAAACTTTTTGACAAATCTGAAGTAAATAATGCATGCTGGAACAGTGGAAACAGGTTAGGTTTTAATGTGGAACAGCAACGGGTTTAAATTTTAAATGGACATGTTTTATGAGATGTGAGTTGATCTAGCAGTACATTCGGGAGTGTCGTGGTCGAGTGGTTAAAGGCGCTTGACTGGAGATGCGAAGGTCGAGAGTTTGGACCCAGCACTAATATCCTTTGGCAAGATATTAACCTGCACTTGCTACTCTCCACCCAGGTGTCAAATGGGTACCCGGTAGGATGCGGCCGTCATTGTTGGTCAAACAGCTTGTGAGCGTCAAGTAACGCCCGGCTGGAATGCTTCCCAGGGGGGGATTGTGCACACAGTGTGTGCAGTCAAGCACTGAATCCAATGACCAGGGTAATAGTATATTTGTAAAGCGCTTAGAGACATTTACGCTATATAAAAATTAAATATTATTATTATTATATTATTATTCACTTGGCAAGCTTTCTGTACCTCGGCACGAAACTCAGCCATGTCTTTAGGATAGTGGGGTAACAGGTCGGTCCCCAGACTTATAGTAGATAATCATATCATGTCTGTAAGAACCAATTCTGACCCACACACACACACTCAGGTCCAAATCCTTCTCAACAAACTTTACTCATGAAATATTAGTCATGGAATTTGTTTGAAAATGTTTCAAAATATGGCTTAGAGTGAACCAGATCAAGAGTATCTTAACCAAATAGACAAGAGCCCCAAGAGAGCCCTGAACCCTGCTTCGAAGGACTTTACGCTTTGAGGCCATTCTCCCTCCAAGTTGCATTGTTACTCTACATTTTCTGTGTTAAACATGATCTGAGACCTTCATTTAACAACTAAATTATTCATACCCTTAACTTGATAATCATCAAACTTGTCAAATATAGCTAAATACTGACAGTGGCTAGACTGATATATTTGGCTACTCACAATCTAAGTCATGGAGTCTTAGCCTCATACATGTTATACAGGCCCAACAAGTTTCAATTCAGACCCTGCATGGAAAAAGTTAGTGCAGAGCTCTGTTGTAAAGTGACGATTGCTTCTTATCCTGATGAATGTTATCTCATTGTGACACTTGGCACTGTGTTCCACACGTTGATACCTCTCTGTTTTCCTTTCCTGTTTTTACCATGTAGCATTAAAACCGAAGTTTGCTGCCAGTGAAGAAATACTTAAATTAAGCAGTGACTTTGTGATGGTCAACGTAGAGGTAAGTTGTCATTTTAAAATGCTATACATATTATATAATATAATATGATATCTCAGTAGTTCAAAACGGAGTCAGGCTGACTTGGCTCAAAGACAACTCGGCCCAGCTGCAAAAACAGTCAGTTTTTGCAGGTTTAGGGTTACCCGTTACATGTAGGTTAAGGGTTAGGGTTAGGGTTAATTGACAAAAACTGACCATTTTTGCAGCTGGGCCGACTTGTATTTGAGCCGAGTTAGCCTGGATTCTTGAAAATATGTTCACGTATCATGGATGAAATTTTTAGCCAATCTGAAACTAGAATGTGAATGTGTATTCCAGATTTTCCTTCAGCCCCTTATTTTGAACATTTTATGGCAGGAATAATGACAATAGTGATTTCAAATGATACAAGGCACTATCCTCTAGTGTATAAACAGGTTAAAGTGCATCAGTCAATGGAAATATGTTTTTATGTATACATGTACCTAAAATGTATAATACCACCCCCCCCCCCCCCCCAAAAAAAAAAAAAAGAAAAAAGAAAAAAAAAAGGTCACACTTGGGTTTCGTGCGCACTCTATTCTATGCAAGTGCATAATTGTGTGTTGGCTTTTTTTACTGAGAAAGTATTTAAAATATAATATCTCTATGTCGAAGTAATATTTGAAGCTTATATTTTAAATAAAGTGTAGCGACTTGGAACCCGTTACATCACGAGTAAGATATGTTTTGGTTAACGGTACACTTTAAGTACATGTAGTTGAATTGGTATGTGTTTATTTTCTTTTTTGAAGAAGTGAAGGGAATTAATATTGTTAAAAAATGCAGGGAATTTGTTTCTAAAATTGTGGGCCAGTGGATCAAAAGATTTACTTTGGGAGTTGAAAAAGTAGGAACTGATGTTGATAGAAGTATATATGATGGTACTGAAAGAGTTCAGAGATCAAACTTTCATTGTGATGTTTTGTGATGTTTATCTTCCCCAGGATGACGAGGAACATGAAGGGTCTCAATTTCAACCCGACGGTGGATACATTCCTCGTATACTCTTTCTAAACTCAGATGGCGTAGTTCAACCTGACCTAATCAACACGTTAGGAAATCCCCAATACAAGTACTTCTATTCAAATGCTCTAATGGGTATGTACAGCTAGTCGTGAGTGATACATGTATATGTTTAGTAGGTTATATAACACACTTCCTATAGATATTGATCTGCTGGATTAGAGGGGGGGGGGGGTTGGTTGTAATATGTAGCCCCTTCCTCCAGCCCCACCCAACGTTTCGAATAGACAGGTACAAACAATACCGTGGCATTGCAACAACCAAAAAAATATGCTTGGTTGCATGCTCAGTCAAATCTTCCTTTCAAAATGATTTACATCTCCTGAACAATATACATGTACTTCAAATTAAAATCTGCCAAATATGCAGTTGAGAATTCTACAAGTAAGGTACAAATAATTAAGATCCCCTGCTAGTGATCATGTAGGATCTAAACACTCTTTGTTTTTGTTTGGTTCCCTCACTTCTTAAACAATTATTAAATTGTGTAACAACTTCTTTCTAAATCTTATTTCCCTCTTATCGCCACTTGTCAAATCTTTGTCATATATTCAGCTTTGAATGAAATTTTTCAATTATGGTTTCTCTTTTTTTATATTTTTTTTGTCTCTTATTCATCCCTTACAGTGACTGAAGCAATGAAGTCTGCAGTCAAAGCACTGGGAGGAAGCAGAAATGATGAGTTGTGACATGGATCTCTAGTTTAAACTATTTATCAAGCAATAATGGCAGGTGCCCACTCTTGTGATGTAAAAACTAGGGCCCGAACTCACAAAGGAGGTTTAACTTAACCCATGGTTACCTTAAACCCTCATTTACATAACCCATGGTTTAAAAATTAGTGCAAAATAGGTGTTGCTTGCCTTGCGCGCGTCTAATATTGGACCTCTGACTGTGTCTTGCTTATTGGTTATGTAAACAAAGATTTAAATCATGGGTTGAATTTAAACCTCCTTTGTGAATACAGGCCTTTGTGATTTGTCTATTTAGAGACAGAAAGGCGCTAACTCTTTCTAAAAGTGTATGACAGGCCTTTTGATGTCCCTTACTAATGCTAATGCTACTTATCTTGACAATAATAAGACATTTAAACATAATTTTTTTACAATACGACATAAGTAAAGCACAAGTTCATCATTTTCTGATGGTCAGAATAACATTACCTCATAATAATGTATACTATTTATATGCGATGCAGATATCGTCCCTTTGCCACATGTTAGCCAATGTTATTATTTTATGGGATAGTTATAGGCCTACCAAAGGCTTTCAAGATTATTTAACTATGTCCAGTGCAAGATTAATCTATTTTAATTTTGCAAAACCATGATGCACAATTAATCGTGTTGTTTAGTGGTGTCTCTATCATTTTGTGCACGTGTGGTAAACAAGTGACCTTGCAGAGAGTTGAAGAAAGCACCCAAAATGTTAATGCCTCACTGGCTTTCGAGTGTAAACTTGTTTGAAGTTTATATTGTACTGTGGTTAAAACAGATATATATTCTAATGGTTTGTTCGTTCATGTCTCCTTAGATCAGGATAGTTATGTAAAGTTCCTTAATTAAATTAAATTTTAAATTAAGTTCTTCCATCGCCCGATTGCTGCAATGGCCGTTTCATTAACAAGGGCCAGGTCTGCATCTGTAATAGTGATTCATGCCTTCGAAGATGGTTCATGGTATACTTGGTAAAAAATAATCGTTTCTTTGAGACCAACATCAAAGACATACACACTCTAGTATTCAACATCGCAAAGTGGATACTTAGTTAGAATAGGATACTTAGAAAAAGATTTTAGGAGTGATAAGATTTGTTAGGTGCATGTAAATGTTAGAAATATTCTGTAGCTGAATTTTTATTAGTTTTTCATAAATTTATAAAAAAAAATAATGATTGCTTAGTCTATAGGCCTTTATAGTTGTACACTCTATTAGTATGGGCCTTTATTGTTGTATACTTTTACAGACAAGTGCCTTGGAATACTCATATTTTGAGGTATTTTGAGGTACTTTGTGGATTAATCTGACAGTCCTTGACCCATACCATGCAAAACTTCATTATCCATATAGAGGTGAAAAATGATTTTTATAAATTTTCGTATGAAATGCATGGACTGAGTAATTACACAAAATACCTATATTAGACTCATGATTCTGGGCCCTGTTTCATAAAACTTTTCCTCAATAACAAATGCTAAATTGCTATGACAAATTTACAAATTTACCCTCAGCCAATCAATGCCAGGAGTTCAGTAGCTTATAAAAGTTATGGTACCTTGTTACGGATGACAAGTTTTGTGAAACAGGGCCCTGGTGACTGGATAAAATGTTTTAATATCAATTTAAGGAGATTCACATTTATCCAAGCTCATGGTTGGAATCGCATTCTTTTTTTCTACAAAATCATGGACGTGCAATTGGTTCTTGTCAAATTGTTACTGATGATTACTTTTCTAATTGGTAGATGGACTAAGCAAAATACATTCTCACAAGCTAAACAAGCTTTATTCTTTTCATGCTTTTGTCTACATTCTATAGGTGACATATACATTGAGTAACAACAGATCTTAGTTTGAATTTATTAGGATGTGTATGTTATCTAGGCATTTATATATATTTATATATAGAATGTTATTACACTGCATGAATAAAAAAGAAAAAAGATAAATCTCAATTCTTTCGTGGTAACCTGATATTTGTTTAGGTGACATTTATGGTTAGGGCTAGCATTGTGATTGGGTTACCTTTAGGTAGAGGTTTAGGTTAAGGTACAGAGTTGGTACTAGGGTTAAACATGAATGTAGAAGGGACTCGTGCAGGAGATAGGAGATAGATCACATACCCTGGATAGACCATGGAGCACATGTCATCTGATCTTTGTGTCCTATAACACAGTTGCTCTTTCCCTTTCTTCATAATGAGAGAGAGAGAGAGAGAGAGAGAGAGAGAGAAAGAAAGGGGGGAGGGGAGATAAACACACTTGTCTGTTGTGTCGCTTGGTACATTATACAATTACGGTAAAATATAAGTAATTGTAGTAAGGCGAGGCGTCAAAAATAAATATACCAGCCAGCGGCAGCTAACTGCACTTGTGCGTCCTGGCTGCATTTTTAAAATTAGCTCAGCCGGCTACCGCTGGCGGTAGGACCCTCAATTAACTCATGATGTCATCATAATGGTTTCCGAACAAAAGCATGCGCCGGCTGCCGCCTTTCGAATGGAAACCGAGCCTCAGATCCCAGCCTGGCGCAAGCCGGCTGGGCTAATAAGTGAAAAATAATTGCCCCAGCCAGGCTTCGGCCGTAATTGCAGCCTCGATGCGCCAATACGTGAGGCGGCAGCCTGCTGGTATCGATATTTTTGACGCCTCGCCTAAGCAGTAGAGAAATAGAGAAGAATTGAGTGAAGGGGACATAAGGAGCGGGAGCTGGTAGGAGGGATACAGGCAGAGAAAGAGAGAGAGAGAAGAGAGCTAGGTGATTGGGGATAAAGGAGAGAGGAGGAAGGGAGTAAGAGCTGGTAGGAGGGAGACAAGTAGAGAAAGAGAGAGTGGGACGATGAGTGAGAGAGAATGAGATGAGGGAGAGAGAGAGAGAGAGAGAAGAAAACTAGGTGATTGGGGAGAAAGGAGTGAGATACAGATTTATTTTTTTCTTCCATTTATCCTCTTTCGAGGGACTTTATTTGTTCATATTATAAAATAACTATTTACAACAGAGCTTATATTGTAACATATCATATATACCGTGTGAGTCAAAAAAAAGTTTACACTCAGAAAAATTGTCATTTATTTTAAAAGTCAGCTATGAATGAAAGATTATCATACATGTTTTGAACGATTGTTATGTCCCGAATCGTTTGGTATCATTTCTGTGTGATGTGTTCACGTTTGAATGAACAGGAGACATTGTTTGCGAGAGTGCAAGAATCGACTTGCGCAAAAGTTTCAAAGAAAGAGAATGAATTGAATGTATCATATGAGATGCATTGCAATATGCTTTTTTCAGAAGCAAAGTCACACACACACACAAACACACACAAGGAACACACACACACAAAGCACATTTAGATGCAGACTGACAGAGTCTTTTGGGAGAAACAATTCATTGTGATGCACCAAACTTTAATTATGGCATTATGATTGAATTTATATTCCGTTTTGATATTAAACGGAAAATTTGCGATTTTACAGAAATGTTCATTACGTAATAATGACTTGGCTGCGTGTATTTTTCATTTATCTGAGTGTGCGAGTGCGCGGAAGTGTGTTTGCGTGTGTGCGTGTGTTTGTGTGTGTGTGTGCGTGACTGACTGGGTTTGACTCTGTGTGTGTTTTTTTTTATATGTATGGCTCGATTAGTTTTCTTAGGGATGTTTTTAGGATCTGTAATGAGCGAATTAATACCCAATCCCAATTGTTTTGATAAAACATATCGGCATCACTTTGGCGCAAGTCGATTTTTGCACTCTAAACAATGTCTCCTGTTCATCCAAGCGTGACCACATGCCACACAAAAATGATACCAAAAGATTTGGGATAAAACACTTTTTCATAAGATGTATAATAGTTTACTGTTTATAAATGATTTTTTAAAATAATTAGGAATTTTGCTAGGTGTACACTTTTTTTTATTTGACTCACTCTGTAGTACAAAAATGAAACTAATGTGACATAATCACTGACTAAAATAATGAAATATTTTAGTTACTTCATTTGTATCGAATTTCTTATGATTTCATTCCATATTGAGATAAGTGCGAATTTCTACCTTTAATTCTTTTATCAAATACAGCATGTATCCTGGGCTTTTCACTTCCAAAACATTCTCTAATATAGTTTCTATAGATAAAAAATTGAGCGAGGTTTAATATAAGATTTACAAGATTTATTTCACTTCTCTCTATTTCATGACCTATTAAGTGAATTTTTTCGTTTATAAAGATTTATTAATTTGAATACAAGCTTCACAAAAAGCGAAACCTTGTCACAAACCAGGAAAAGGTGGTCAGTTGTATCTGGGATCTGTGTATCTGTGAACTATTTACATATTGTATCCCATTACGTAACTTCTGCAACCAAAAATCCGAAATACACTTTTTAACTTTGCCAATTCGAAGGCAGAAAGTAATTCATTTTCTTGAAAATAATATAAATGGAATCAACTTCTTTCCAAATACTGTTTACTAAGACTTGTAACACTCTAAGTATATTATTTCTTATCCAGTTTGGAAAATGCAATATTTTTAATATCGCTATTATACCAAATCATTTTAATTTCGATATCTGTACTTTAAACATATAAATTTATTTCAATTTACCTCAGAAACAAAACATGTTAACATAAAAGTTAGGCCACTTTTTTTTCTTTCTACAAATACGATACTGTGGCTGCAGCGAGGTCGATATCAAATAAACAAGTCTGAACAAAGGCTTCTACGGGAATTTGTAGCCTTTAATGATTTGAGTGACTATTTCATCCGTTTAATTCCGTGAAAACTGTGGATAAATCACAGATAAAGAATCGTAAATACAAGTACATCATAGCATCATCAATATAGCAATAACACAGTCTCTTTGAGAAACTCATGAAATAATATATATTGTGTCATGATCATCATAACCTATTCAAATATCCCCAGTCACTATTCTAGTCCATCTGCATTATGGCTTTACATAAATACAAACTCGCTCTACGAGTGTCTCAACTAGGCTTCACTATAGCTTGGTTAAACAATTAACTAGACAATAATAAATTCCAAATCTCTACTTAGTGCTTCAGCACTCTCATAATATATCTTCAAAGTATTTAGCTGTATCCTTACTGTTATCTTTGTTCTTGATACAAGGTAAAATGTACATACATCATATTAAACCAGCATGGGCTTGTATTTCTTACATTACATTACATACTGCAAACATACACATCTCTCAGTATGAAGTTCAAAACATACACACTAAATTCCACTTTATGTTTCGAAAATTCATAGAAATACATTAAATATATAACCTCTTTGCCTGACTTAATGACAACATTATGACTTAAATTTCCTTGATGCGCTGGCAAAAAGGGGATTTTTGAACCTCAGCAAAACCATGTTCATGTAGCCTTCTGAGTGTTTAATATCAAGTGCTATTACATATATATATGTATTCATGTCATGCATCAATCATAGTACAAAAAACAAATGACTTAGGTGATAAAGTAATTTCAAGTGCCACTGTCACAACAATACATATCGCTCTTTTCGCAAATAAACAGCGAACAAAGAGACAAATTCTCAATTTTCTGGATCCAATATTTAAACAAAAATTTCTAAGCACTATGTCCACCTCTTAAATACTTAAACATCCATGATAGACGGAGTGACCGACATGATAAACAGAAATAAAGAGAGAGAGAGAGAGAGAGAAAAAAAGAGAAGAGAGAGAGAGAAAGAGAGAGAGAGAAACAGAAGGAAAGAGAGAGAGAGAGAGAGAGAGAGAGAGAGAGAAAGATATTTTGATCTTCAGAACAAATGAACTACCTGCATTCAATTACTATTTCAGGCTGGTCTGAATATTCTGAAGTTGGGAGTGCAACATCATTCTGTACCAGTATTAAAATGGTTGTCACGGAGCTAATCATTACCAGAAATTAGTTTATTTTACAAAGCGCCGGATTGTGTTGCACAAAGTAATGATTCCGCAAATTAGTGCCTATTGATTTGTGCAAAATTGCACGTGTGGCAAACGGGTGACTGGCAGAAAGGTGAAGAAAGCAAGCGAAGGCTGAACTGTCTATCATACATTTATCCATGCGTTACCTGCATGGGCAAAAGGGTGACCGACGTGTTTTAAAGAAATCATACTGATTTTTTCGACAATGGTGCTGGCGGGTAATAGACCTTAACACTGAATAATATATATTCTTACACAAGTTTACAACAAGATATTTATCCTGCCTTCGGCTCAATATTCTGAATAAATCTATATAATCTACACGTTTAACCAATCTGTACAAAACATATTTATTATCTGACGAATTGAAATGTTACACAGCTTGAAGTGAAAAACAGATAAAAAAGATTATTGTACACAAATATTGAATCAGTGAAAAGTGGCATTTTTGCATTGTAAATCACAGTCACTTTGACGAAATTAGACGTAAACTTACCCTTTCATCCCTTAATTTACAAACTAGAAGTGATATTGTAGTTACTCGCCTCATGATCACCTACCATCCCAGTATAGCTTCCTGAGTGAGCTGCCAAATGGATTACCTAACCAAGTACCATAATAAATGATCAAGAATCATATAGGTTTCAACAATCATTTTATACTCCTGAAGATTTCACCCAAATGTTAAATGTGCACACTGTAGATAAATATTTAGAAAAACAATTTTCATGTCTTCATGTAAATTGCAGAAGTATAAAAAAAAACTTCTCTTGTTTAGAATCTTTTTTGCATGTTATTGATAATCCCTTCTGTGCAATAGGAATAACTGAAACATGGTTACGCAACAGCGATCCTAAATATAATTTAGATGGATTCAAATTTATGGGTAATAATAGAGTAGAACGTCGAGGAGGAGGAGTTGGTATATATGTTAGAGATGCTTTAGTTTATAAACAAAGAGTAGATTTAGACATTAATGTAAATTGTATGGAGTCTATTTTTATTGAAATTCAAAATTCAATTAAAAATATTATTATTGGTGTTGTTTATAGACCTCCGGGTGAATCTGAAAATGACTTTTTTGAATCATTAAATTCAGTTTTAAATATTGTAAATAAAGAAAATAAATATGTATATCTTATTGGGGATTATAATATTAATTTATTGACCGTCGACTCTTGCTCTAAAACAAATGAATTTTTAGACGTATTTATGACAAAATCGATGTATCCAGTAATTCATTACCCAACTCGCATCACTGATCATTCAATATCACTGATTGATAATATCTTTACAAATAACATTGATGATATTTTATCAGGAATTATACTTGCGGATATTAGTGATCATTTTCCTGTATTTTGTATATCGAACTCTCAGATAACACTTAGGAAATCACAGACAATTATGAAACGTGATCTTAATGAGATAAACATTAGAAAATGTATTAATCTTTTGAATGATGTTAATTGGAGAGTAGATAATGAAGATCCAAATGTGAGTTATAACAATTTTTTGTATCAATTTATGCAGCTATATAATAAATGTTTTCCTATACGCTCCATTGAATTTAAAAAGAAAAGAAGAGATAAATCATGGTTTACAAATAAATTACGTAAAATGTGCAATAAAAAATACAAGTTGTATAAAAAATCCTTACAAAATCCCACTGACTATAGAAAAAGTGTGTATAAGATGTACAGAAATAAGTTGAACCGTGAAATTAAACATGTGAAATATGAATATTTTAAAAACAAGTTTCAAAATGTGCAATGTGACATGAAAGAAACGTGGAAGTTAATAAATAAAGCTATAGGAAATTCATTTAAGACTCGTGATACAAATATTGAACACATTCAAGTTAATAATGAACGTATTACAGATGATTTATGCATTGCTCAAGAGTTTAATAATTATTTCGTTAATATAGGTGCTTCTTTGAGAAATAATGTTCAAAATACTTTGATTGGAAATAATAATCATATGCAATATCTAGAAAGCAATAATATAACTGCCTTTTTTAAGCCTATTACAACTAAAGAAATTATAGATATTGTTTGTGACTTGAAAAGCAAATCAAGCACTGGTTATGATGAAATTGATATTGTCATCGTTAAAAGGGTTGTTCACATTATATGCTATCCGCTGTGTCGTATTTTTAATGAATCTATGAATCAAGGTATTTTTCCGGAAAAGTTAAAAATAGCAAAAGTTATTCCTGTATATAAAAATGGATCATTGGAAACAATGAGTAATTATCGACCAATATCAGTCTTGCCAGTATTTTCAAAAATCTTAGAAAAATGTTTTTATAATAGATTGATATATTTTTTGAACCAATGTAATTTATTATCGGATAGTCAATATGGTTTTAGAGCTGGTCACTCCACATCCTCTGCACTAATTGATTTTGTTTTTAAAGTTTCAAATGCCTTAGATAATAAACAAATTATGTTAGGAATATTTCTCGATCTTAGTAAGGCATTTGATACGTTGGATCATAAAATTCTCTTAGATAAATTGTTCAATTATGGAATACGAGGTGTTTTGTTAAAATGGTTTGAAAGCTATTTAACAAGCCGAAAACAATATGTTCTTTTTAATAACATTGAATCTGATTTTAAAACTATTGGATGTGGAGTGCCTCAAGGCTCGATATTGGGACCCTTGTTATTTCTTGTATACATGAATGATATTACTCAGGCTTCACAAATATTACAATGTATATTGTATGCCGATGATTCAAGTTTATTTTTGTCTGATAACGATGTAGATAGATTAGTGATACGATTTAATCATGAGCTTCAAAACATTTCTCAATGGTTGAATATTAATAAATTAATCTTAAATGTAAAGAAAACTAATTATATAATTTTTACAAACAAAAACATTAGAACTGATAATATTGAAGTAAAGATTAATGGAAATGTTGTACAGCGTTGTAGTTCATTGACATTTCTAGGAATTCAAATTGATTATAAAATGTCATGGCACGTTCATATTGAAGCAATTTGTAATAAACTCTCGAAGGTAGTTGGTATTTTATACAAATTAAAACAATTCCCTTATAAGATTTTATTAATGATATACAATGCATTGTTTTTATCACAATTGAATTATTGCAATATTGTTTGGGCAAATTCAAATGATTATTGTATGAATAGATTATATAAATTACAAAAGAAGGCAATACGTATTATCTCAGGATCCCATTATCTTGCCCATACAAAACCTATTTTTGTCCGTTTTAAATGTTTTAATGTATTTGAATTGAATGACTATAATATTGTTATATTCATGTTTTTATGTCATAAAGGTATTATTCCTCCTAGTCTATCAAACAAATTTCTTTTAAATTCTGAAGTACATTCATATATAACTAGACAATCATCTCATTTTCATTTACCACTTATCAAAACTTCTGTCTCTAAAAATTCAATTTTCTTTAAAGGACCAATTTTATGGAATGAGTTACCTCCTAACGTTAAATCAAGCCCAACTCTGAATACATTTAAAAGAAGATACAAACAATTACGTTTTTGTGAATAGTATTTTATTAGTTTTTATATATGAAATCAGGTTTTAGATGTTAGGTGTTAGTTGTTATGTGTTAGGTGTTAAGTGTTATAAGTTAAAATTGTCGCTAGGGACCAGCCCCACACAAGACTTAAATGTTCTTTCTTGCTGGTTCCTCATTCGTATATATATTTGTATTTTATGTTTGTCTTTCGTTATGTTATTTGTATGTACTTTTCTTATCTGTAAATATCAATGTTTTAATCATGTATGTTTTTTATATGACGAATGAAATAAAATGAAATGAAATGAAATGAAAAGTTTCTTTCACCAGGAATAAAAATATAAAAACCACATAAGATATTTACTGTTTCTATAACATTTTGAAAATAGCTGTTTAAGTTTCGTTATAATTCTTGCAACAATTGAAATAGTGTACTACCGTAGTATGAGCACATAGTAAGGAAGTATGAGCACCATGATAAATATTACCAACTCTGTGTATTGCATAACATGTTCATTATTGTTGATCCAGCATGTATCAATGCTTGCACCATACCCAAGCCTCTGCCTCGCTAGGGCTGTCTCTATATTTCTTCGTAAGTGTCTCCCGGATCTGATGTTATGGCTTCTAGATAGGTAACGTCGGTGTTGGGTTTCTTTAGATCTTGATACGTATGGGGGTCGGTAAGATTCTGGTAGTTTGGAGTATCTGTATTAAGATCTTGGTAGACATGGGTATCAGCATTCGGGTCTTCGTAGGTATTGGGGTCTTGCTTTGAGTCATCAAATACAGGGTTCTCATACTTTGATGAGGTCTCACGTGCATTGTTTGGTGGGGACGCGGCTGGTTCAGTCTCTAAACGTCTTTGTTTGATCCTGGAAGTGAAATTCAATAATAAAAACGCATTAAGTTCCTCCTTCTTTGTAATACCATTGAGATTCAGGTACACACGCTAACGGGCACGCGCACGCACACTCACACACACACACACACACACGCGCGCACACACACACACACACACCCACACGCACACAAAGTTCAGATAGAAGTGAGGTGGGAATGGTCCCTGATGAGCACAACAGCTCACTGCGTATGATTGTGGATGTCCCTTATAACATTTAAAACAAAATCATTATAAACCATTCATTGTATGAATATACTGTATTTTAAGGGCCTTTAGAATAGGATAATCCTGCAATCGCTTTATCAATTATCGTTTTGGCTCCCTTTAGATAAATAAATTCATATCTATATTTGTAAAAATGTTACCATATAGTGGCATGGACTTCACTTTTAATTGTTCTACTGTAGTTGAGTTAACTTACCTTCTATACATCACCAAAGTAATTAGTAGTATTGCGATGAGAACGATGGGTACTATCACACCCCCTATCACAGCACTTAGTGGTTTCCTGGAACCATTATCATCACCTTTAGCACAAACAAAAATCACATACATGTAATTATGCTGTATCGAGGTATAGTTTTTGTTGATTTTGTTTATTCATTTATTTATTCATGTCTATTTTAGCGAGCAGGGTAGATCATTCAGTTAAAAAAAAAATACTTTACAATGACGCCCTGCTGCAACATACAAATACACGAACCCCCCCCCCCCCCCAAAAAAAAAAAAAAAAAAAAAAAAGAAGTCTAACTTTTAGAGTCAAAAGCACTGACCTCTGTTTTATCTGGGTGTATATGCATGCCATTAATTTCAAACCATTTAACATTAAGATCATAATCATCTTGTAAATTAATCTTAACTTGAGTAAAATTAACATCATTATTAAATATAAATGTATCATCTGCATAAACATATTTCTTTGAGTGTGAATGCAGATTCAAATTACACGCATCATTAAATAAATAAGCAAACAATGAGAGGGTCTAGGAATGATTTATGCGGTACCCAAGTTTGAACATGTAAATCTTCGATATTGCAGCCAATAACGACAACACAATAATTTATTGCATTTTACCCCGGTCCCCAACATAACAAAATCCTCTGTACGGCCATGCATTATGGCTCAAAGCATGGGCACACAAAATATTTTTTTCTGTTGGGGACCGGGGGGAAATTCAATGAATTATTAATAATTTATTGCACTTTTTTGTGGGAACTGCCCCCTACCCTTCCCCCACTGCGTACATTCATGGTACAGTGGCAAAGCAATGGCCTCGTAACAGTGAGGCCCCAGGAACAAAACCGTGTCGACTATATAAGTGCCCTTTTGTGGGGCATTAATCCTCATTACTGTCATTTTTTAAGGGCATTTTCTAGATCTATTAGGAATAAGTCATTGTCAAAACAATTCCATTAAATGGGGTAAAAAAAAAATTTCCAACTTTATGAGCAACAGTGTAGATTATATTTACTTCTATAAATGGACCTCTAGGAAGAACAGAGCCATTTTAATAATGGCTCTGAATAGAGCTTTCCAGCCGTTTTTTTTTTTTTTTTTTTAATTCTTGATTTGTATTATTTGTAAATTGTATTCTTGTATGTATTGAATTTTTTATACGGAAAATAAAACCAAACCAAACCAAACCAAAATGACAACTTTTCTTATCGTTTCATAAAGTTTCACAAAAACTTGTAAACAAAGAAATGTTTTAGAAAAATGTCCATTTCTCCTTATATTAAACTATACATGATTAATGCAGACTATTCAACCTTCTCAGCCAATCAAACAGAGAATAAGGAGTAATATTAGGATGAATATGTAAACAACGCTGATAAGCTACAAATTTATTTAAATATTTATGAAGGTTACAAACTGACTTTAGTTTGACATGTAGCTAGTATTTAATAATAATAATAATACATGAGATTTGTAAGGCGCGTTATTCTCTTGAAATCAAATGCTCTAGGCACACTTGTATGAAAAAAGGAAAAATAAATCGCGCAAAAGCAAACGTATTTGGAACAAAAGAACAGGAGTAATATAAAAAAATACGAAAATAAAAGAACAATTAATTAAAAGCCGAAAGCATTTTACTTCTACATCTTTTAAAAAACCCACATTACCTACAAAATGTTTGCAAGTATGACATTTGGGTTAGAACAAAGTTTCATTCGTTTCATGCTCTTACCTGAGAGGATGGTCTTTGCATTCACTGGTTCGGACCAATTGCTAGAACCAGCTCCATTGACAGTTTGGACCTGACAAACATGGAAATAAGAACATGGTGTTGTAGTAATATTGACAATACAAATATTATCCACACACAAGACACGCAAAAGAATTTTTTCAGTCTTAATTATAGAATTATAGATATTCATGTCCTGGGGAAAATACAATTATCATAAGCGACCGCATAACAACAGTTAAATACATGTATTTAGATGCCATTAAAACATTCAAATGTAATTTATTTCAATGCAGTATCATGCATGTAATTGGGGATTGCTTGCTACATAAATGGCACAAGTAAAAAAGAGAATCACTTTGTAATTTCATCCCTAAGTATATAGTTTCTCCAAAAGCGCTTAGGATAACAGCTCAAACTAAAATGTTCTAAATAGGGAAACCTTGCACTATTAATATGAAGAGATTAAATATTCCCTTAAACGTTGGGTCCTAACGATTGATGTCAAGATATCTTACCTGAACTGTATAGTTGATTTCACGGGGTAGGTCTACCACAGTATGCTCTCCTTCAAACGCACCGTTCAATACTTCACCATCAACAAGTACGGGATCAGTCTGCTGGTAGCGGATGATATACTTCTGGATGTTACCATTGATGTTAGATGGTAGAGGAGTAGACCAGGATACAGTGAAGGAGCTTTTAGTACTCTGGGGTATAGCCACATTGATAGGAGCAGGCGCGACTGATAAGAAGAAAATGGTTTATAACAATGTCACGCTGAAATATGGTAGACTTATGTATTGATATTTCGGAGTATCAATTACTTTTGTTACTCTCGTCTTAAAAGGTTAGTACAATTTCTAATTCCAGAAAACAAATCTATTTCGATTGCAATAAAAGCGACTATTGTATAAAAAAATAAAAATGAAACAAATTTGGGTTTGAAAATGTAATGACATAACGAAATAGTAATCTAATGCCTCAAAGAGTCATGTATATGATTTATATTGTGCAGACAAAGTAATTTAGTATACAAACACTGCTATTAAAAAATATATTTACAGATTTCATTGCTCTCGATCTCCTCCGATTTCTAACGTGCTGGCCCGTACTCCACTAATATTTAACCCGACGCTGGAATTAAGCATAGTCAGAAATTGAGTTTAACAAAGAAGTCATACCGAGGTCTGATTCTAACAAGAATATTAACAGTGTCACTTAAGAAGCAAAAAGCAACACTCTCACCCTCATGGAAAAATACATCCCAAGATTAACACTAACCTTCTTCAAGTGTTTTGCCGATAGTCTCATGGCTCCTATCACTTTCCTCGTCTTTATTTGATGCAGTCAATTGAATAATATAGTCCAGATAGGTATCTAACCCTCTTATCGTGTAGGAGCTAGTGTCACGAAAAACCAGGATAGAGCTTGAAGAAGTTGATCCAGAGGGAGCATAGTAGATCATATAATTGGTCACTCCACTCCTGCATTCTGCTGATTCCGAGGGGAGGTGCTGAAACATAAAGATACAAATATATGTTGCATGCATCACAACCACATGAAATAAGTTACTTTCACACTAGTAGACAAAACTATAATATGTTATTATATTTTGCCTACAGTTTTTCGCAGTGAAGGATGCTCCTGTATCATCCTGCTAAACAAGAATCTCTTGATTAACAAACATTTCTATATTTGCTTCCTTCTGTAAAATAAAATAAAAATTCCATTTCATAAACCCAACAGCTCTTACTTTCAACTAAGCAAAGAAAACAAATTGGTACACTTTTTATATATTTCTTTTTACTCAAGATCTATTTTATTTAGTCAATTGTTGAGGTACGTAAAGAAACATTCACAAATAGTTGGTGGTGTGGAGGAGTTTTTATTTGACATATCTCGACGAAAAAATAGGTAAAATTAAATCTTATCAAGGTTGTAAGTGTTTTATCAGCTTCATATCACATAAACGGCGCGGTTCTACCTGTATGTAATACAAAAATGAATAGTAACAGCTATGCATTTTGTGCTCTGGACGAGGCTTTTCATCCAACTGTATTTCACTATTAAAGTGACCAAACAGCTATTCTTAAAACAGTTCATACCTCCCATATCACCTCTAGCTCTTTAGGGTTGATGGCTGAAACTTGTAGTCCAGTTGGAGAAGCACTGGGTTCTAAAGTTTAAAATTATATAGAAGAAACTAAATTGCTTGAACCTATAGTAGAAAAATTCATTGTATGTAAACGCAAAGGTTATGGTAAAAACAAGTATTTTTTATGTGGTTTTAAATTAAACGTTTACAAGTCAAACATGTAACTACCAAAGGGCAAAACACAGTTGAGGGCACTATAAACATTTTGGGGAAATTCATGTTTTGTAGAAGAAATTTTCTGTTTCAAATTTTAGAAAGACAGAATAGTTTAAAAGGAGAAAGTACGGAATGGCAAATACGAACATTTCCATGTGACATATTTGACTCGTAAAATTTGATTTGTTAAAGAGCCTTCAATCATTGGAAAGTCGTAAATATACCGAATATATGTACAAATCATTTACTAATAACATAATGTACGTACCTATATTAGATAAATGTACCGAATCAAGCTGAACAAATGTGAACAAATAATAGCACTTAACATCTTGTTTTTCTCAAGACTTAAACCTTACTTCTACAGCGGGTTATTATGCTGTTGCTAGGAGACACAGGTCCAGTTCCACCTGTTCCTTCCCTCACTGCTGCTACACGAAACCTGTAATCGGTGTCGGGTATCAGGTTACTAACGATGGCTGATGTTGTGAGTTGGTCTACTCTCTGATCCGTTACCCAGGCACCATCCTTCTCGACAAAGACATCATATCCTACAAGAGGAGGATCACCTACATCATCTTCTTCGGACCATTCGTTCCATCGAAGATCAACTGTAGTTGACGTAGTACTCACTATCACTGGTGCGTTCTCAATGACTGGCAAAACTGAAGAAAAAACACATTTTATAGAAATACCAATCAAAATCAATGTTACACTTATACTCTAAGTTCTTCCACAAAGTCAAACTTACACAATAATTCAATTTTGATATCTTACAAAACTGCAAATGGATGCGTGGAATGTGCAAACGTTGTGTGTGAGCGAACTTGAATCCGATGAGAGGGGTAATGATACATTTTAATGTTCTTAGAAACATTGCAAATTCATCAAGTGATATATAAACCCAGAATATTACCATTATGATAAAATTATATTGAAATAAAGAGTATATTAATTATTTCACATGTTGGGCGTACGTACGGGTCAATGTACATAAAGCGACTTGCCTGCACACACAACTGTATCAATATAGGAACAGACATTCCATGTTAATATTAATAAATATCGGTTTATTCAGTATGCCCCCAGGGCTCATCCATTTGTTTGTAATACTGAAGGCTAATTCACACATATTTTGCAACATTATGTTTGTTGTTGTTGTTACAGCTCATGAAAATGTTGTTTTTGTTGTTGCTGTTGTAGTTGTGGTGCTGGTTTGTGATGTAGTTGTGGTTGTGGTTGTTGTAACAGTTGCTGTTGGGGTGGCAGTGTTGTGGTTTTATTACATGGAGACGAAGGGCACACGTCTGTTGTTGTTACAGCTGTTGTGACTGCTGATGAAATGGTTGTTTTTTATGTGACTGTTGTTGTTGTTATTTTTATTGTTTTTATTGTGGTTGTTATTTTATGGAGAGAGGGGCATGTGCTTGCCTCTTCATTTGACATGAAAGTCCAGAAACCAGAGCCTCCAACAACATAACTGATTTAACACCTGTAACCATGCATGCAGAGAGCATGACTGAGAATAATTCTGCATTTAACGAAAGTGCTATCATGCTTTCTATTTAACAGGTATCTCACAGAAGGATATTTGAGTAAAGCAATATCACACAGTTTGCTTACCATAGGTTGCATTGGTAATAGGCGTACCGCGATAGTCTATCTTTTCGACAATAAGAGAGCAAACGTAATCCCCATCTTCCTGTGGATACACGCTATCAACATCAAAGACAACAGCTCGTTCTGACCCCGAGACAGTGCCTGATCTCATGGTCATTCCTGTGCTGATATAGTTGCTTCCATTATGTCTGTAAAGATTAACTGAGGATGCATCGGGAAGTGGGATACCCTCAACATAACATGTGAAGCTAGATGGTTGGTATGGGTTCACTCTCACTGGAACCAATCTGGATATTCCTGTCAAGAACAAAGAAAAGAAAAACATTAAATAATACACACAATTTTGAACACAAAACCTGCTCGCTTTGTGTATTTCACAAATGGCAAACAAATCCTATATGCGCTTTTTAGAACATTAATCATGATATTCAAAAATAAAAGAATGGATTTATTTCTCTTAAAAAGAATGACCAATTACTTATAATTTTGAAATTCGTGTCAGCAATATAATGTTGCAACCCGGTCACTTCATAGGATAAATCTGATTATTTTGTTTAAAATCCAATTGCGTCATATTTATCAATGCAATAATCCTGGTATGCAAATCACTCATGCTAATATGAAATTTCTGTTTGTACTACAAAGAGATCCCAATAACCGATAATCATTTCAAGATTTTTTTGTGGATCTATTCACTACGTGTATAGGGTAGGAGAAACTTCCTTAACATATGAAATGGACTTTATAAAGAGAAACAACAACAAATAGCTTGTAAACTAATGTGTACATGTTCAAGTGTCTACCCAAAGTAATAATAATAATAATGGTAATTTATATAGCGCCGGTATCTGCCAAGTGCTGACACTCATTGAGCTCTGAGGTAAATTTGCTTAAAGGAATCACACTAAGAAGCAAAAGAGTTTTGAATTGATGCAAAATTCATATCATTGCGAAGGAGAAGCCTTACTGATCAAATACAACAACTTCCCTCTTCAAAATATGTTTGGGGCCCGCAGTAATCAACTCTCAAAAATGTTAGTTTTGAGATCCAGATTTTCTGCCTTCGCGGTCCTTTGTAGAGCGTCAATATTTGTGACGTCACATACGGGACACGGTTGGCTAGCTGCATACTGCTACACGGCACTGAGATGTTCGTCCAGTGTGTGACGTCACAATTCAGAGCTCGCTACGCTTGTGTGTTTGACTTACGTTCAGGGTCTAAGGAGGGTCTTGAAAAATTGCATTTTACGCCTTTCCATGATATCTATATGATTTCTCAGCAAAATGTTCGTGTTTTTCAAGAGAAAATCTTTCCATCCATATGTAAATTCTTCTGATTATGAGTTGTTAGTGAATTTTCTTTGTGTAGCTCCTTTAAATTAAAGTAAGGTAAAAGTACTTGCTCCATAAGCCTATTGAGCACGATTGTGAATTACAGCTAAATGTTATGAAATACATGTACACATAGTTTCATATGCACTCCGAGGTGTTTGAACGTTTTTTCAACAGAAGAAGAAGACAAACCAGATCACAATATGCTGGGTATAATTACTTTGACTGCAGTAAGGTTCAATCCAGCTATCAAGGCATTGTCCCTTGCAAAGACCCCTCTCTGTCTCGCAAGCCACTTGAGCACAATGACATTGCTGAAGACAGTCCAAACCAAAGGTATCCCCTTCACACTCTGAACAAATAAAACAAAGGAAACATCTGGTCAATGATTATCATTGATTAATAAAGGCAAAGATAACTTCGACCGGGGTCTACTGGAAACAGGGTTGTAAACACAATAAATCAAATTATTTCAATCAGGTGAAACGAGTAGATTTTCATCTGACCCATGTCACTGTGAGTTAGTTTAACTTAAGAAGTGAAGGTCCATTACTACTTAAAATCTGTTGCAGCCAGCAATTCAGGGACCCCCTCTAAATCTGCTGTTCTCTCGATTACTACTTTCAGGTGGACGACCAACCATGCTGGCTGCAACTCTTCATTCTAAGACAATAACTTATAGTCACAGCTAGGATACAGATCTCTCTCTCTCTCTCTGAAACAGAATACAGTTGAGGATTGCTATGTGATGCATTAGTAGGTATTCTATGGAGATAATAATAATAATAATAATAATAATAATAATAATAATAACCAATTTTTATATAGCGCTTAATACAAATGTCTCTAAGCGCTTTACAAATATACTATTAGACGTTTGCTCCTGGGTAAGTTGTTCCGGTCTGTATTTCATCAAAGGTATTCGTTAGGGTTCGGGTTGCAATTGGGTTTTATTTAATGTTTAGGGTTATGGTTAAGTTCACTGTTGGGTAAAGGGTCGAAGCTAAGAACTTGGTTTGTGTACGATAATGACAGGAAACATTTATCGTACACCAGATAATGGAGGTCATACTTTAATAAACTCTTGAGGCAGTGTACAGTTTCAAGATTACCTTGGGCAACATTTTCAACATGCCCCTCAAAGCAGTCAATATTTGTATACTAGAATCCTCCTCCAGAGTATACATTATAATAATGTATTTACTATCGCAGCACTACGTACATATATGTGCCTGATATGACCAATGCACATACATGCATTTATGAGTGTTCATACATGTAATTATGAGTGTTCATACATGTATTTATGAGTGTTTATACATGTAGTTATGAGTGTTCATACATGTATTAATGAGTGTTTATACATGTAATTATGAGTGTTCATACATGTATTTATGAGTGTTTATACATGTAATTATGAGTGTTCATACATGTATTTATATAAAAGCTCATACATGCATTTATGAGTGCTCATACATGTGTACATAAAACAATCCTGGTGTATGATGCACGCTGCACCATTCTTGATGTACATGGTGTATGTAGACTGGAGATAAAGGAATTGGAATTGATATGGAAAATTGAACACCCTTTATAGTATTTTACCTTGACAGTTGACCTGGCCACTGCGTAGTTTGTATCCTAGAGCACACTTCTGCTCAGGGCACTCTCCGGTATCTTTATCACATGGTTCATCATTCAAGCAATGACATTTATCAGTGCATTGAGATCCATAGTAACCGGCTTCACATTCATCTGGAACTGTGAATGATAAAAACATATTTTAGAAATCACAATTTAGCAATTACTACTAGTAAATAATATCAGATGTGATACAGAATATATCAGATGTACTTCACAAAGTCAGATTGCTTCTATTGCAAAAGTTCTTGTTTTTTTCTTTGCAAAATTAATTTAAATTATTACACATATTCTTGAGTTTAATGGAGCCTTCACTAGATAAATCCACGTATTTATAGAAAGCATTCATCTCCTCTATCAATAAACATGAAAATAGTATACACACGGAGTTTTCCACAAACCACTAAGTACTTGGTGCGGGTATGTCTACGAAAATAGAAACCTCAAGTAATAATATAATTGTGAATTATCTTATTCCAAATGGGTACAATACAGGCACCCCAGGTCATGTATGCAATTGTGCTAGACATTAACAATAGAACAAAAATTACATAGCTACATGCAATGTACAAGTACAATTCTGTGTATCTTACTTTTCAGTAAGAGGGAATTTGTATCATATTATTTGTTATCATTGCTGACAATGACTTACTTTGACAGTTGTTCCCAGTCCAGCCAGTCTGACATCCACCTGTACATATTCCACTATAAATATTACATGATGAACCACCGCCTGCACAGTGACATGTCTGTGAACATCCTGCACCATATGTACCTATAGTACATACTGTAAAGGAATTCAAAATACAAATTCAAGATTGATTGATTATCATACATTCATCTGAAAGGAAAATATTGTGCATGTTACAATAACTTCTTATTAATTTATCTTTTTCTCTTTCTTCTTCGACTTCTTCTCTTCCTTCTTCTTCTTTTCCTTCTTCTTCTTCTTTTTCTTCTTCTTCTTCTTCTTCCTTTTCTTTTTCTTCTTCTTCTCCTTCTTCTTCATCTTCTTCATCTTCTTCTTCTTCTTCTTCTACTTCTTGTACTTCTTCTTCTTCTTCTTCTTCTTCTTCTTCTTCTTCTTCTTCTTCTTCTTCTTCTTCTACTTTTTTCTCCACTGAGTTGCCCCTGACCTCACTCATGAATCCAGCCACATTAGTGTCTGTGCTATTAGAAGTTGAGCACAATCAAATAACTTCGGAAGACTTACGTGTGTTACATGTAAGACCATGAGCACCGACATCACATGAACATCCATAAGGATCAGGTAGGCAAAAAAGATTCCCATGACATTGTGTGGCAGCATTGCGGTATGAACACTGAAACTCGCACTTCAATCCAAATCGATTTCCACCATCATTTCTACAAACTGAAAAAAAATGAGTTGCATTGTTGAATCAAAACCTTATAGACTTGCATAAGAAATAAGATTTCTTGAGATAAATTTCAAGTATGATTGCTTTCCTGATATCAAGATATTTGATATGTACATGTATAATGGATGTATATAACTCTGTTAATTTTTAATGGAATAAGACAAAAAATATCTTCCTCAATTCATCTATTATAAACAGATAATCTTTAAAATAATTTTGAACGTTTGGACAATAAAACCTCAACTCAACTCAACTTAACTCACATAAAGTTTTGCAGGCTTACTTACTTTCTAAACAATTCGTTCCCTTGAAGTTGTTAGGACAGATACACAGGCCAGACTTGTCATCACAGACTCCACCATTGTAGCATTTATCACAGATACCATAACACTCAGGGGGACCCCACTTACCAGCAGGGCATTCTAATATGAGATATAGGGAAAGAGAAAAAATAATTAAGTAAAATACATGTCACTAAACATTAAATCATAACAAAGATGAAAAAGATAGAAGATAAGCGGGGTAGAGGTTACAAAGCAATGTTCTCGAGCGTAGAACTATAGTATAGTGTATGCCATCGGCTTTGTCACATTCTGAATTTACATCCGGGTAATTTTAAAGTAACCGTATGTACAAATCGCATCACATATATTGATATCCTTACATCTGAAGTGTATCATTTGAAGTCTCATAAATCTTTTGAAATAACATTTGCAAAAGAGTAAGAGCTGTCCATCTTACAATAACGCGCCATCACAAATGATCAGACTTGGACATTAATTATCTACCAGACTGCTCTAAACCAATTTTAAAGAATATTTTACATTCATTTATTCATTAATAATGAATTATAAATGAATATGTACATATCATCATCCACATGTAACTTGCATGATCTAATGAATACAAATAAAGATTTCTAGGCAAAGTATGAAGCAACACTTTTACAGCATTATAAATAAACAATACTCTCTTGGACTGGGAGAACATATAACCCCTTTCAAGAAGCATAATCTGAACTCAGCTGAAAAAAGCACACTTATACATGTACCTCTGACGATGAGTCTGTATAATCCTCCTCTATTTTGATTCCTCTCGTTATTATAGTAGATCTCATAGATTCCTTGGTCTGATGTCTGGATTGGGTTTGGGAAGCTGATCTGAGTCTGCCCATCAAATGATGTAAGAACCTCTATTCCATCTTTCATCCAAGTAATCACATTGTCACTTGCATCAGGACTAACACGACTATCCATGCTGATCATCACTCCAGTTTCATTCACATTGACTGTCTTTGTAAACAATCCATCACTTGATATGAATTTAGCTGTTAAAAGGGATGATAATAATAAATGAACCAAACAAAAAATGCTAACTGTAATAATAATACATGTGGCACCTACATGTACATGTCATGTGCACTGTAGCTATTTACTCACTAAAGGAAACAAAACATTTATATAGGGCTTGCATACATGTACATGTATATTGAAATATATATAGAAACAAATATTCACTTGCATATTGGAATAAATTTGTTCCTGTTGATATTTTTCAATAACAAGTTTAGATCATTTTCAATATTCGAACATTTCCGCAACTAGTCTGGTGTATGTCAAAATCTTTGGACTTCTGTTTGACAATGTTAATGTTAGTAAACAACATCAACATAAATGGGTATGTTCAGGCTTAGCGCATCACCGTGCATCCTTTGTTTATGATAAATTTTTGAAAATTTTGTGCTATTCTTAAAAGAATCGTACTCTGGTATTTTCAGATTTATTCTCAGTATATATGTAAAAAGCATCAAATCTTTGTAATAGCCATTATCAAGCATTAAATGTTCAAAAGCATCGTAAGCAATGAATCACTCTCACTCCTGATCCTCAGTAAACCGTTTTGCGGTAAAAACGCTTCTTTGCAAAAAAAAAAAATCCACAGTACCTTTTTTTACACTGCAGCCAAAATGTATTGATTTTTCACGAAGAAAAATCTAAATCGAAAAAATCCTCCCTTGGGGGGTGTTTCACGAAGAGTTGGACTTGAACTACGACAGGCCATTCATGAAAATGGTCGCTCTCACCATTGGTCTCTCAAGGGACTTCACAAATCTACAGAATTTACGTTTTGTGATCGTCCATTGTTGAAGAAAAAGAGTTTCTTACATTGTCTATATTCAAGACTTGGACTTACTACTGCAAATGCAATTTCTGCCCTAAACAAGCTCTGAACCAAGATGTAAAAGTAGAGAGAAAAAACATCAGAAATGATCTTTAGATTTTTTCTTTCAATAATTAACCGTAACAAAATGTAAGTTATGTAGGTTTGTGACCGCGATGTGTACGTTCCTTGAAAAACCAATGCCAGGAATGGTTAGAGGAAATAGTGGCATGAATAGCCTGCCATAGTTAAGTCCGACTCAAAATCGATCTTTAATAGTCTCTGTGAAACACTCCCCTGCAGTTTGGTTTTTTTAAACGCCTGCCAAGATTGCACAGATTTGTTGCAGTGTAAAATGCAACCTTCGGTAAGATACGCATTATCGCCCCCATGACTCTCCTCGCTTCCATGGTAACACACGCAGTAGAGCACCGACAAGTGGCACATGCGCACTACTCACAAACAAAATCGGTAAGGTTAAAAATTCAACGGTTTTGTTACAGGTTTTTTTTTCCAGTAGTGTAAATAGTAGTCATAAAAATTGATGATTCTTCAAATTGGTGTTTGGGAAACATGTTTAAATGGGCCAATAGTAATGCATTGTTTTTAAATGAAGATCACTACGTGATGTTCCATGCAGTGGCGGATCCAGGGGGGCACAGGGGGCACGTGCCCCCCCCCCCCCCCCCCTCCGGCCAAAAAAAAAGAAAAGGAGAAAAAGGAGGGGGAAAGAAAAGGGAGAGGAAAAAGACAAAAAAGGGAAGAGAGAAAGAAGAAGAAAAGAGGGGGAAAGAAAAGGGGAGAGGAAAAAAGGAGGGGAAAGGGAAAGACAGAGAGGAGAGAAAAGGCGGAAAAAGAAGAAACGCGGAAAGACGGAGGAGAGAAAAGGGGGAAAAGGAGAATAATGAGAAGGGAAAAGAAAGAAAGGGGGATGATATTATAAGAAGGTTTTTTTTTTTACCGGGGTAGGGGCGGGGGGGGGGGGGATGCAATTTTAAGTCGAACATGACTAATACCAAAGATTTTATCTCCTTTATAACTTATAGCTTATAACTTAGTCTTGAATGAATTTTCCGATATACCTATTCTAAGTGTTCTTTCAGCATGCAGATTGTCCCCGCCATTAATCCTGCCACAGTTGCTGGTTTCATTGTCATATTATTTTCTGTCATCCCTGTGGCCGCGAAGTTTCTATCCGTTTCGCAAGCACTTTTTTTTCCATCGCCTACATGTAATGTTTATTGCTTCCAGTTTGCAAAAGATCCCAGTGGCGGATCTGTAGGGGATGGGGGAGGGGTTGGGGGTTTAACCCCCCCCCCCCTTGGGCTGCCAAGTGAAAATGTGATGTGAATAGAAAAACGCATGTGTCCAGACCCACACAGTATCCGTATCGTCATCGGGTGAAACCCCCTTAAACTGTCACTTGATTTAAAAAGACGTTATCGTGCACTGCTTTTTATGGTCTCCATTGTGTTAGTAGATGCCAGGAAAATATCACTTACGGGGGTTCAAAATAGCCCCCCAAAAATCGCCTCGCCGCTATGCGGCTCGGACATTGAGGCTCGTGGACAATTCTCTACATCGTCATTGGGTCCCCAATAAACAGAACACCAAAAAGTAACCTCTTTTGGGAGTGTATTTTAAGTGATTTTAAAGTATAGTGCCTTTTGAACTAGATTTAAACGTTATCGACACGTGCCTTCATTTAAAGATAAAAGGTACTCCTGTTCACGTTTTCATCTAACCTAAAAACCACCAGTTTATCACGCGACTGGAGTAACGTGATTCCACTTACCTCTGTAAATCAAGTGTTTATGACCAAGTAACCACTTGACCAAGCAACGAGTTTTTTGTCAGTTAACCGATGGTGGCGATAAATACGTAATTATTTGGTCTTGTAAGCACCTTTATTTATTGGTTTCACAGGTTATCCAAGGTTGATGGTAATAATCACGTTACTTACACCGGCTAATCGTCTTATTGTTCTGTCCGTGAATCTCTGGTTATATTCAACTAGTAATTCTGAGGTGTCTTACACACCTCTTTAAAAGGTTTCAAAGTTACCATAAATTTCTTGGTTATGATCACGTGGCTCAAGCTGATTACTAATCTAAGCTGTGAAAACGTGATATGTAGGTGTGAAAATTAGTAATTATTAAGTGGTTTAAAACACCTTTTTAAATGGTAGTCAAAGTTGCCATAAGTTCCGCGGTGATGATCTCGTGACTCAAACGGATTATTGATCTAAGCTTGTCATGCGTGACTTTTAGGAGTGAAAAATTAGTCATTATTAGGTGTCTTAAAACATCTATTTAAATGGTTTCAAAGTTACCATAACTTTCTTGGTGATGATCACGTAGTTAAAACTGATTACTAATCTAAGCTGTGAATCCGTGATATTTAGGTGTGAAAAATTAGTCATTATTAGGTGTATTAAAACACCTATTTAAATGGAAGTCAAAGTTGCCATAAGTTCCGCGGTGATGATCTCGTGACTCAAACGGATTATTAATCTAAACTGGGCATACGTGACTTTTAGGTGTGAAAAATTAGTCATGATTAGGTGTCTTAAAACACCTATTTAAATCGTAGTCAAAGTTACCAGCAGTTCCGCGGTGATGATCGCGTGACTCAAACGGATTATTAATATAAGCTGGGTATTCCGTGTTTTCCATGTGTGAAAATGAGTTATTCGTGGGTGTCTTGATGGTTTCACAGTTACTATTTAAGTTCCGTGGTGATAATCCCGTGACTGTTGGCATATTTCTATGTTCACCAGTTGATAACTGACTGTTGGCATATTTTCATTGCACCAGTTGATAACTGGAGTGTGCACATTTCCAGTTGCACCAGTTGATGACTGAGCGTTGGCATATTTCGAGTTGACCCAGCTGACACCAATTCATTTGCATATTGAATATGGGGTGCGTGCAGATCTATGTTTTTTAAACAATTTATCTGAATTTACAGCATATTTCTTAATTACTGATGATTTAGTTATATGCAATTCATTTCGAAAATACTACAAATATAAATTACCAGTTACTAGGACATTTCGCTACTTCGTATAAATAGTTAAACATGAATAAGGGAAACATTAACTGTGAAATAAAATAATTTCAATAAAGTACAAGTACACGAATTTTTTTCGATTAATTCAATTATGTAAGTCTACTTATTACCAATGCCCTTACAGTACATTGGAAATACAGACGTACCAGTATTGAAGTATTGTTGCTGTTCAACTGGTTGGAAGTTTTACCAAATGGTTCTAATGGCTCAGCTAGACCAGTTGAATTATAACTGGCCTGGATCAACTGGATCATTTAGCCCATATCAATTTCCAGGGTTACCAGTTGGCATTAAAAATGGTTCATCAACTGGACCAGTTGCAACTAGCTTTCTCTTTTGGGATGTTTGCACCCCCCCCCCCCCCCACCCAACCCCCTCAAATCCCAAACTGCTTCCGGCGCGCCTGGACGTAATTATGGAAGATCCCAGACACGATGTTCAGAAACGGGATGAGAACATCATTATTTTGGTTCATTTATTGTGTAACATTTGCGTAATTATTGGGTTGAACGCGGGTTACAGTAACATACTTCCTCTTCGACGTAAATTTCACGTGAATGAAGAACATGATTCATCTCAAGTCAGCCTCGTAATATTCACGTGAATTTCACGCAGATATTTTGACTAAAACTATCATTAACGCTTCACGTGTTTCTGTGACGTGATAATTTCGTGTATGAAGATGTAATTTCATAACGAAACAAACACGGGAGTATTAGGTTTACAAACCATGGTCTCCAAGGTAGGGATAATCACGTTATTATAATGGTGATATTGCAGTGACAATTGCGTGATTTAGTGTACGTGTGTTTTAAGTTACCTAATGCAATAAACGTATTAACACATTTACGTAAATGTACGGTGTTTGAAGAACGTAACTCTCCTCAAGTCGATACCTTGATATTGACGTGATTTTCACGTGATTTTGTTTATTGGGTCGAACCCCCTCAAACTGTTACTTGATTTAAAAATACATTATCATGCACTGCTGTTTATGGTCTCCATTGTGTTTGTAGATGCCAGGAAAACATCACTTACGGGGTTCAAAATAGCCCCCCCCCCCAAAAAAAAAAAAAAAAAAAAAAAAAAAAAAATCGCCTCGCCGCTACGCGGCTCGTGGACGATGCTCCGCATCGTCTCACAAACTGTTACTTGATTTAAAAAGACGTTATCATGAACTGCTGTTTATGGTCTCTATTGTGTTAGTAGATGCCAGGAAAATATCACTTACGGGGGTTCAAAATAGCCCCCCCCCCCCCCCCAAAATCGCCTCGCCGCTATGCGGCTCGGACTTTGAGGCTCGTGGACAATGCTCTACATCGTCATTGGGTCGAACCCCCTCAAACTGTTACTTGATTTAAAAATACATTATCATGCACTGCTGTTTATGGTCTCCATTGTGTTTGTAGATGCCAGGAAAACATCACTTACGGGGTTCAAAATAGCCCCCCCCCCCCCCCCCCAAAAAAAAAAAAAAAAAAAAAAAAAAAATCGCCTCGCCGCTATGCGGCTCGGACTTTGAGGCTCGTGGACAATGCTCTACATCGTCATTGGGTCGAACCCCCTCAAACTGTTACTTGATTTAAAAATACATTATCATGCACTGCTGTTTATGGTCTCCATTGTGTTTGTAGATGCCAGGAAAACATCGCATCGTCTCTCAAACTGTTACTTGATTTAAAAAGACGTTATCATGAACTGCTGTTTATGGTCTCCATTGTGTTAGTAGATGCCAGGAAAATATCACTTACGGGGTTTCAAAATAGCCCCCCCCCTAAAAAAAAAAAAAAAAAAAAAAAAAAAAAATCGGCGGCTCGTGGACGCATCGTCATGGGTCGAACCCCCGTTAAACTGTTATTTGATTTAAAAAGGCGTTATCATGCACTGCTTTTTATGGTCTCCATTGTGTCAGTATATAGATGCCAGGAAAACATCACTGACGGGGGTTTAAAATAGCACCCCCCAAAATCGCCTCGCCGCTACACGGCTCGTGGACAATGCTCTGCATCGTCTTTGGGTCGACCCCTCTTAAACTGTTACTTGATTTAAAAAGACGTTATCGTGCACTGCTTTTGATGTGAATAGAAAAACGCATGTGTCCAGACCCACACAGTATCCGTATCGTCATCGGGTCGAACCCCCTTAAACTGTCACTTGATTTAAAAAGACGTTATCGTGCACTGCTTTTTATGGTCTCCATTGTGTTAGTAGATGCCAGGAAAATATCACTTACGGGGGTTCAAAATAGCCCCCCAAAAATCCCCTCGCCGCTACGCGGCTCGGACTTTGAGGCTCGTGGACGATGCTCTGCATCGTCATTGGGTCGAACCCCCTCAAAATGTTACTTGATTTAAAAATACATTATCATGCACTGCTATTTATGGTCTCCATTGTGTTTGTAGATGCCAGGAAAACATCACTTACGGGGTTCAAAATAGCCCCCCCCCCCCCCAAAAAAAAAAAAAAAAAAAAAAAAAAAAAAATCGCCTCGCCGCTACGCGGCTCGGACCTTGCGGCTCGTGGACGATGCTCCGCATCGTCTCTCAAACTGTTACTTGATTTAAAAAGACGTTATCATGAACTGCTGTTTATGGTCTCCATTGTGTTAGTAGATGCCAGGAAAATATCATTTACGGGGTTTCAAAATAGCCCCACCCCCCCCCCCAAAAAAAAAAAAAAAAAAAAAAAAAATCGGCGGCTCGTGGACGCATCGTCATGGGTCGAACCCCCGTTAAACTGTTATTTGATTTAAAAAGGCGTTATCATGCACTGCTTTTTATGGTCTCCATTGTGTCAGTATATAGATGCCAGGAAAACATCACTGACGGGGGTTTAAAATAGCACCCCCCAAAATCGCCTCGCCGCTACACGGCTCGTGGACAATGCTCTGCATCGTCTTTGGGTCGACCCCTCTTAAACTGTTGCTTGATTTAAAAAGACGTAATTATCATGCACTGCTTTTTATTGCCATTGTGTCAGAAGATGTCAGGAAAACATCACTTACGGGGTTCCAAAATAGCAACAACAACAAAATAGCGTCGTCGCTTCGCGGCTCGTGGACGATGCTCCGTGGCGTCATTGGGTCAACCCCCCCCCCCCCCCCCTTAGCAAAAAGCCAGATCCCATCACCCGCTCCTGGATCCCTACTCTTTGAGGGGGTAGGAAAAAGCAATTTTACATCATATTACTCCAGGAAGTGCCTGAAAATGCACCTAATGTGGTTATAAAATTGCAAATGCTTCCTACTCAGGGAGGGGTTCTGACCCCCTCCCAGACCCACCCCCGCTTGGTCGCTCCGCTCCCTCGCCGCTGACGCCTCGCTCCATCGTTTTTCATATACTTCACCCCATGCGATTTTGTGCCCCCCGACCACTGCCATGAGTAATAATATGACGGTGTTCATGATTAAAAAAACTTGATATATCTTTGTATTAAAGGAATAGTTGAGTTCTGTTTTCAGACTGCAAATGCCTTCAAAGTGCATTGTTATTGCTCTTATTCTTATCTATGACATTTCTAGTGCCCTTTTAGACCCTAAAATTGCTATGAAGGTAATTTTAGACCCCAAAATGTGTGAAATTTAGCCAATACGAGCATACAAATTCAGCTCAACTTTCAAAAAAACATGGTGACCGTTAAATAATTTTTAAATTAAAAAATAACAATACATGGACCGGCTGGTTGTGCGTAATATAAGCAACACGAAAATGCCAACAAAAGCCAATATCGGCATTGGCTGAAATACGACGTAAAAGGCGTCATTTCGTTTTTTCAACGTTTTTTTTCAAATTTTTCAAAATACCTAATATTTGTGGTGGTACACAAGTATTAGAAATCGTTATATTTCAGCCGTCTCTACACCGATTTTGATCAAACAAAGGTGATTTTGTCATTTAAATATTATGTTCTTTCAAATCTGCCACTCAGTTTTTCATTATCTCACAAAAAAATTATTTTGTGTAGCGCCCTCTGCAACAGAACTCAACTATTCCTTTAAGGAGGTTCCTCTAATATTTGAGGAATCTCCAAAATGCAATATAAGCTCAGTCTATATTGTTAACGATAAATAATGGTTATTTGATAAACAAACATCATTATAACAAAGCCGCATTGCGAAGATCTTAGAAATAATAAACTAATAATTAACGAATAATATTTCAATTTTTCTCGCATAATAAAATATGATATTCGATTCTCTATTCGACAATATGTATAGATCTGGTATACAAATTGGAATTAATTGGGATTAATTTTGATTATTTCATCCTATTTACAAAGTGTTATATATGTTCTTACTGATCTGTCGGGAATATGCTCAGAACTTCACTTGGACTACTTCACATCAGTACAGGAAGCTTCTATAGTATACATTGAAGAAAAAATCTTTAAAAATAAAGAAATCCTATGCTTATTATAATAAATGGAATATTAAACTTACCATCAAATCGTTGGAAAAATGTAGTAACCCTTGTAACATCTCGATCAGGTTTAGAAGCCTCACAGTAGAAAGGACCGTAACCATCACTATCCCATCCATCTCCTGTAGGGAATTTGACCACTCTGATGAAGTAATGTTTAGAGTGTCTCTCATCTTCTGGTGGTGATCTGTCTGTTGTTATGGGTGCTGATCGACCAAATGATCGTGTAGCGTCTGTATCTGGGTCACTGCCCCAACATTGGTACTGAAAACTGCTCGATGAACCTACATTGGTGTATCCCACGGTCAGCACTGTGATATGAACAACCTCACCTGGAATACCAAGAGTGATTTTTTTTTTATAAACAGTATAAGCCTATACTAATTTTCTTTTTTCATATGCATTTTGGACTTTAACGGTAATAGAAAGTTTTGGGAAATTTTGAAAATTGGGTGGATAGTGATTCTTTATAATTTTTATATATTTGGATGACCCTGTTGATGTATAATAAGCACAAGAAAATTTAGTCCCTAAAACACTTTTGCTTTCGAGATAAATTAAATATAAAAATTTACCGGTGCTCCCGGTAAATTTTGATAAATTTCAAACAGCGCCTACGGCCGTACAATGGTAGCTGCGACCATGAAAATTTCAGAATATGTAGTTGTGATATATAATTTCCAAACGGGAATAGCTAATCGGTCGATTTTAGTCAAGAAACATTGTTTTATAGCTCAATTAATATCTTGACCTTGAGAGGGAGCTATACAACATAAAGAGTTAATTAATTACAATTTAATAACTTTAGACTCGATTTCAACCGCGATAACGAGCAATGAATATTGTAGGATCACATATGCTTCCAGTATGTTAATTTTAAACGAATTCATGACCCCATACCAAAACTTTGTATTACCTTTAAACCATATAATAACTAATATATGTACTACACCACAATATGTCCCTCAATTTATAACACAACTGTAGAATGATCAACATGTAAATCAATCGATGGGTCGATTGAATAGCATGGGCCGGGGGTTAAGCCCATTTTCGGAAAATTAATGTTCCAATAACGAACTGGAAATTTTATATTAACAATATTTCAAATTTTATAACCCATGCACATATCCAACACGCAAATGTAAGTGCTCCATGCGCTCGTGAATACCACAGCTAGGCTACCGATTTCGGTGCTCACAGTATTCAAGAAATTCCTATTAACTAGTACCCATTTAACTCTTTAGAGAAGAGTGACAAATTTATATCATATAAAGTTTGATTATTTTTTACAACTCTTCAGTTATTCTATCTATTGATTTTCAACGGAAATTAAATATTAGTGCAGGCATCGTTTAGCCCTCTCGCGGAAAAAAGTTGTTCATACGCATATGTTCATAGGCCTGTACAGGGGAGGGGGTACAACCAAAAAGGGCACCTACAAAGGGAAATCTCAAAGCTAGAATACCCCAACGTTGTCATTACATTATCGGGAATGAATTCAATATTTGTTTCTCTTTACACATCATACAAATCACTTAAGCATCTTACTTTGCAATTTGGTGTGATGATCATATTCATTTGCAAGCGAGTGGGGAACTCTTGTAAGATTTGTGAGGTCGCAGCGCAAACAAAATTCATGTTATAAAGAGGGGGACAAAAATCATTATAGGGTTATAAGCACATTTCATAATCGAAGACTCAAAACACCTTGGATAAGTAACATCATTATCTAATTTATAAAAGTATATTGCTAGCGAGCGAGCTTTGGGGGAAAATGCTCTCAGTCGCTTTAAATTAGGGGCAAGTTTAATGATGAGAGGAAAGAGGGACACTTATCGAAAGGAATAATACACTTTTTAGAAAGAAAAGGAGCATGTGTCAAAATACAAAGGGTAATTATCAGAGGTGACAATGAGGCACTTCTAATACCTGAAAGGGGCACTCACCAGGGATGAAAAAAAAGGCACCTCTGATAATGGGAAATGGGAATTTGTCGACGAAAAAAAGTGCACACATCAGGTTTTTATATGTGCATTTATAAGAAGCAAAAGGGGGCATTTCTAACAAGGGGATAGGTCTCTTATTAGAAAGGAAAATAGGGACATATCATTGTTAAAAGAGAAATTATCAGAGGTGAAAAGGGGCACTGACCAGATATTTAAAGGGGCACTTATGAGAATGCAAAAGGGGCACTTGTATTAAAGGAAAATGTGCATTTGTTGAAAGAAAAACGGAATTTATAGGAGGTTAAGGGGATCTTTTATGAGAAAAGGGAAGTGGCTCTTATCAAATAGAGGTGTCGTGGTCGAGTGGATATGTCAACGGACTGTGGATCACAAGGTCCGCGGTTCAAGTCCCACCGCGGCACTACTGTCGTTTGGCAAGACATTGATTTATATTTACCACTCTCCACCCCGGTGTTAAATGGGTACCCGGTAGGATGCGAAAGCTAATGTGGTTCGATTAGCAATGGCGCTTGTAAAATGGCGACTGGCTGGAATGCTCCCCAGGGAGTTGAGAATGTGCTTACCTTGTGTGCGGGTAGGTATAAATCCGATGACCGGCGTAATAATACATATCTGTAAAGCGCATTGAGAGGGCCTGCGGTCCTGAAATGCGCTATATAAGGACGAACTACTGTTATTATTATTAATAGAAAAAGAAAAAGGTCTGAATGTTTTGTGGGCCACGAAAACTTTGATCGTATAGGGTCACAATAGTACAAGCCTTTAATTGTTTAACTTATTACCCAGAAATGAGTGGGGTTTGCATTCAAGGGCTATCATCTCTCTCTCACTGTCCGAAAAGAACGATATAGTAATATGATTCTAACAATCAAAATCATATCTTATCAGACAGACAGAAAATGCGGAGAAGGTTAGCAACTACTGATCATGAAGATCTTTTGTATTTTGCATATTTGAATACTACAGAGCTTTTTTTTAGGTATTTCGCAACGACTCAGCAAGCCGCTGAATAAGCGGGGGGGGGGGGGGGGGGGGGGGGGGGGGGGGGGGGGGGGGGGGTAAGAGGACCCTTTTTTTTTTTTTTTTTTGGTCCCCCAAAAAAAATCGCAACGACTCAGCCGACCGCTGAATAAGCGGTGGGGGGGGGGGGGGGGGGTAAGGTCACTTTTTTGGGTCAGCCATGGGAATATATATATATATTCTTTTTTAATAATTAAACAAACACAAACAAACTAAGGGGGGTTAAGGGGGGTTATGGGGGGGGGGGGGGTTACACACAAGAAAATACCAAAGGGGGGGAGGGGTTAACCCCCCCCCCCCCCACTGTGTACGCGCCTGATCCCAAGTACTTGAGTTTGAGAATGTGAACGATAGATAATAGTCGCACGCAAATTTAAATGAGATAATACGGAACTAGGTTTTAGCAACCCTACATATATCTTTTCTCAATGGTTCATTTTGAGCGAAATCCTTTGAAATTTCGATATAGAGCAACGAGAAGTAATGTTTCCAAATCCATGACTTCGGGGAGCGGGACCTAAGATTCTTTAGCTTAAAGATAAAGACCGGTAGTGGTACAATTGCGGTTCAAGGGTTTTTGGTGCAAAATGTCCATTCAATAATGTTTGAATATTGCCTTCAGAGGTTAAGATGGCGATAATTCAACCTAATTTGGCAAAAATAGAAAAATATGCCCAAATGTTGAATGTTGAAGTGCATTCGCGATACCTATCCAGGCCGGATCGATATGATAATTTACCAAATATATCAATTAGTTGGCGGTACCCAGCAACATGCGTATTAGTCAAAACATATTCTTTCACATGATTGGTGATACGAGCTTCTATTTTAGTTTTTGAGAGTGGGGGGGGGGGGATCCAAAACTGGTCTATACCTTTAACTAAAATAATTGTAAACAAAAATATTCTGCTTTAAAAAAAAAAAAGTACGGTATTGCATATAAATCGGGCGCTTTTGATAGTTCTAATTCAACATTTCGAGGCCAAAATTCAAAGTTTCAGCAAAATGAACAGCGCTAGTTTTTAAAGCGTCAAAATCTGAACCTTTATGCATGTGGGCATTTTAAACATTCCCTACATAAGATGGATGGGATAGAGATAGTTTCGGTCCGTTCTAATGTGAGTCTTGTAAATCTGATCGAGATGTTACAAGGGTTACTACATTTGCACATATCATCGCTTGGGGATAATCTGTAATATTAGAATAACTATTTTTGCAGGAGAGGTGAACTATTATGACTAAAAGCATATAAAATAGATTTATATGCTATAGGGATAAACAAAAGTGGGAGTCTTGTGGAAAATCAATTCAGACAGGCCATTTTCCCGATTCAAGACACATACGATTCAAGGGGTATGGCGAAGGGTCGATACGTTGGTCAATCCTAATAATGTGACTAGTGGTATAGTGCAGCATGTGTAGCACTACAGAATTCTTACTTTGCACATTAAAGCTCAGAAGTTTAGTTTTAACAACTCGGAGGTGTTATGGGCGCAGGTCCATAGAAGACAACTAGCTGGGTAATCCAACACCAACGAAATTTGAAGTCAAAACGCATTTTCTAACCTTGTAAATCTTTTTTTGGTCTATACATAAGTTAGTATGGGATGACAGACTATCTGTTTCAGATGTTGCATTATGTCATGTGTCAATTGAAGTTTTCACGATATCTATTGAACAAAAATACTTTTGTATATAATTTCCATATGTTTACTGGGTATATAAGATAAAGCCAGATAAACATTCAAATGAGATATGTATGTTATTACCATCGATGAAAAACTCATACTAGGGACTTTTAGATTTGCACAACAACAACGAGGATTGCTACGATCGACGTCCTTTGAATGCACTGCCTTGAATGGACGACACACGTATCAGTCCACGCAAATCTAAAAGTCCCTAACATTAAGTACATATATGTAACTAATGTTTGATACAATTTCAGGTTCCAAATTCTTTAATATGAGGGTTAATTTACGCAAATGAATTAGCAGGGTAAGGACTGGGGTGACAGACTTCAAAGCCACAGGGCTACCCATGGAAGATGTTCTTCTGTTCTACGTACATGAGAGTCTAGTTGAGCAGTCTAGTTCATCAAATGAACAAGCAAGTCAACTCATATCCTGCCATGAGACTGCTAGCGCGCTATTGTTATAGTTCTCTGTGCACGCGAGCGCGCTATCGATTGATTGCTACGTTCATGCTAGCGAGCCACCGCTACTCTGCTTTGTGCACGCTAGCAAGCATATGTAATAACAGTAATTGTTCATGCCCATTGCACCATGCTGAGTGCTTTTACAGCCCTATTGAAAGTACCATCGCGTGCATCAGATTATCGGCTTTGAATTACGCGTCTTTGTATACAACAGTCAGATTGGATTTTCTCGAGTAATTTAGCGATTTGTTTTTTGTAAAGATTTAAATAACACGCACTTGAACCAACCCTAAAATTAACTTGGCACACAGGAGATTTTTGGCTGGCACAATAGAGATTAGCACTGTGGCACTAGGTGCATTGTATGGGTGGCAGCTTAAGAGCCAAGTCATACTCATCATTGTTAACTATCTTTAATCTATAGGCTTTTATTGTATTATAATTGGCAGGTATCTGTTTGAGGAGTGTATTTTGGAAGCGCTAAGCGTATTCAGTTTTGTTTGCTCTTTATTCGTAATATTTTCACAATTTTATTGTACATTTGCTTATTCTATGCTATAATACCTGACGTTTTTTTAAGGTTCAATATTATATAAACTGCCTAGGGTTTCAAGTGTCAAAACCCTTATTTCCAGAATAAGTCGCGTGTAATAAGTATATATGTAAATCACTGTTCCTATTCCCAAAGTACATGCATGCATATAAGCTAAAATCATAATCTTATTTTTCTATTCTTTTATAGTCACATGATTGTATATAGAAACGGCACGAGGACCGGCGTAAAAAAAGGACGATTGACTTTTTTGAAAATTCTCAGGAATACCGCCCTTAAAAAGGAATCATATATATATATATATATATGCGCGCATGACCATGATGACATTTCATAAACCATCGACTCAGTCGTGATCACCCCAGTACGCAAACAATTACACACCAATATGGATATGAATGGATGATAGCTACCTACCTTGTATCAATATCGGAAAGCAGACGAAAAGCAACAGAGTTGATAAAAACAGTTTCAGAACTTTGAATGTTGCCATTTTCTCCAGTATTCTCCGCAACATCCACATCTCACACTCGAATTCCAACACGTATTCTCAATCAGCTAGCAATCCGTATACGGTAGACTCTCACCCGACATTCAGTGTGAATATCCACATACACCTTCCTATTCAGATGGCGTCTGTCTGTACCTGTTGTACCCGGAACTAAATCCATGATTATGTTAGTCTGTCATCAAGTCACTCACGATAAAACTGATGACAGGGTAATCAAATCATAATTAATTTCAAAGAAATTGCATTGACCATTGAAGAGAAGGTTCATTACTTTAAAAAAAACTAACTTTATTGTCATTATTGCAAAGGTGAAACTTTGATTAGACAAGGTTATCAAAAATCAAAGCTTGGAAACATTCGAATTAATGACTATTATCAATTACAAATACAGCCCCAGCATAGTACCTGAAGAGCGCTCCGAACGCTCCTGAGATGTGTGCCAATGTTTGAAGTAAATCGGACCAGTAATAAGAAAGTTATGAATGTTTGAAATAAATGTTCACTAGGTCTATGTATAAATAACTCTCTCGTTAGTCGTGTGCAAAAAGATATTATAAATGTTTGCTTTTCTCGTTAGTGCCTTCTACCTTCGGGCACTACTCAAAATATATTATGGATATCAATATGTCCTTTAAAGAAATGAGGTCCTCCTGGGTCATAATTTTTTGTGTAAATTTGAATTTTAGTCATCTTGTGTGTTGGAACAAATGAAAAATGTTGTCGGCTACTACACCACGGAAACATGACCGATTAAACCAATTTGAAAAGCCCTTACCCCGAATAACAGGTGATTACAACTTTCAAAAATTCATAACTTTCTCATTTTTGTCCGATTTCGTTCAAATTTTTACCAGTTTACTTTTCTGATTTGTCTAGCTTGTCTCTAGTCTAAGAGTACAGTTTGCTATCAAGGCTGGATATCCCTCTTAAAGGTACTACGTCCCATTTGCAGGCCAAAAATAATGAAAAGGTTAAATTCCAACGGCATTTGAAAGACAATACTAATTTAGAACTTCCCTAAACAAAAGGGGGCTTGAAAATGTCTTTATGTGGGAAAATAACTATTATTAGTTGTCGTAGCGACTTAGGAACTATAGAGCCAGTAAGTAATAGTCTGATTTTTCAGACCATTGTACCGAATGGTCGTACGTTTTATGGTGCACAAAGATTCAATCAGTTTAATTATGGCCAACAACAAGTGGGTTATTGATGTAGACAATTGCTCATGTACCCTTTAAAGCTCAAGTTAAGTATGTTGTTACCAAAGAAGAAAAAAAGCCAGTCAGTCACTCAATAGTGTCTGACAGTGAGGTCAAGCAAGTAAACGGGTTTCCTTGCATAATTTGAATATTATAGGATACTGCTAACGTTTAAATTTAACAGATAGGACATATAAGACATATTCATAATTCTTGCAAAGTTCTACAGAAGTTGATGTTGGTTGCAAAAGGGACATAGTATCTTTAAAGCTTGGTCAGAGAAAGAGGAAGGGTGGGAGGACCAAGCTTGAAGATATGGTTTTATTAGCCTTGCTTTATTCTCTTCATCTTTTAGTTTCTCGTATAGTAAACATAGCGACTTTCCAAACCCCTTCAATGCAAATAGAATCTGATTATTCTAGCCCTGATTTTCACACGCTGCCATGTTTTTGTAGTGTGGTATTTAGTGTGGTATTAATACAATCGCTTCATTGCTTCCCTACTGTTATTCAATTCATGTGATGTTTTCTCTCTTCGTTGAATGAAAATAACCCAAGCATGCCGTTGAAAATCAATCACTTTATAATGCTTTGAATAGTCAATAGAATAAAAATTGCTTCCAAATCTCTCTTTGTTATCATTACAATCATGCCCTTATGCATATGATTGGGTTACAACTTGTAATTGTGCTTTTACAGCGCATTTAATAACACAGAGAATCATGATTACCTTTAACATAATGAAACTGCTTAAAAACATTCAACCTATGACGGTCACCTTGTGTGTCATGAAATATGCGAACGTGACAATGAAATGAGGCTATTACGTAATGCGAGCATGATTTATTTAAGTTGCACAATAGGGTAGGCCTATTAAATTTTTCCCTGGTTAGATTTTTCGAAAATATTTGCGATCGTGTTCTTTTAATCAAATCATGATGTACATACGATTTAATAGCTCATTTGACTGACTGACGTACGAATGCGTCAAGGGCCATGACATACTGCTTCCGTCAGGGAAACGCGTGGCTTGGGATGCGTCACCATGTGAGAGTGATACACATAACGTTAATAAAAAAATGGGCAATGCAAACCTTTCTTTGGACATATTGACGTATACAGTGATTGCCTTTGCCAGCTTGAGTAGCGCAAGTAATGACGCAATCGAAAAGGAAAATCGATCTGAAAGGCATCACAGTTAGTTCATATCCCGCTTTCCTGTAATATTGCCCGAAAAGCCTAAACCTAAATAGGCTACATGTACCAACTTTCCAAAGTCAAAATTTGAAAGCGAGCAAAAAATAACTTTAAACAAAATTATGTTGAAATGCTAATTTCATCATCTAGGTATAAATATAAGGGCATATATACGTATTACGTGGACATAAATCTTACTATATGAGACTAGTCTGACCCAATGAAATGGTCAGAGATTATCATCTCAATAGAGTAATTCACTAATAGACGTTATAATGTTAAGCACACGAGGTCCTATATAATATTCTCGTATTGGATCATAAATTGGGGGTTTTCCCAACATGACAACATTCATTGAATGACTATTAAACAAACTAAAGGCCTAACAACATGATATCGGATCATGAGGAACGAGGCAAAGCGATGCTGTTAATTTTGGTTCTGACAACAAGTATTGACTGGAACTGTATCGTTCCACTATATAGTGACATACACTTGCAGGAACAATGTCCTATATAGGCATGCTTTATGCTGAATTTTGGTGGAAAACTTGGAGAAAAAAACACTTTATTCCAAAATAAAATATGAAGTACAGTGTGTATGGGTTATTAAATATCTGCGCCACAGCTCACCACAGTGGACTGTGACAGAAAATTTGCACCATCATTGCCCAAAGTGTAAACCTCTTTATATAGAACAAAATAATATCACAACAGTTTAGAAAACCCGAAGAAGTGTCGATGTGATTGTGGCTTAACGAAAACGGACTATAAGGATTAAGTCTACTAACTGCTGTAAACACGTTATCTTCCAATCAATCAAATTATGAGAGTCAAGTATAATGCTTTTATTATCTCATGCAACAATATTGTCGCGGTAAGAGAATTCAACGTATACTAACATAGGAAAGAAGAGAGGTAAAATCGCAAAACTCGGACCGGATTTCCTCAATAGTCATTATGTAAATACACCTCGCAAATCGAAAGCAAACATCCTGCATGTGAGTATTCATAACAGAGAGAGGAAAATAAAACCTAAGGGGAAAAAGAAAAGGGCAGACAAAAAATGGAAGTGAAGACGAAGAGAGAGAGAGAGAGAGAGAGAGAGATAGAGAGAGAGAGAGAAAAAAAACAGAGCAAGAGAGGGAGAGAGAGAGAGAGAGAGAGAGAGAGAAATAGAGATATTTTTTTCTTTCTATTTATCCTCTTTCGAGGGACTTTATTTGTTCATATCATATTAAGTAACATCTAATTCATGCAGTCCTAACATATTATACATTTTATAGCCAAAACATGAAACTAATGTGACATAATCACTAACTGAAATAATGAAATGTTTTAGTTACTTCGTTTGAATCGAATTTCTTGTGATTACATTTGATATGGAGAGAGGTGCGAATTTCTACCTTTAGGTTTATGGAGTGGCTATTCTTTTATCAAATACAGCATGTATCCTGCGCTTTTCACTTCCAAAAAATTATCTAATTTAGTTTCTATAAATAATAAACTGAGCAAAATTTAAAACAAGATTTACCAGATTCATTTCTATTCTCTCTATTACATGACCAATTAAACGTGTTTTTTTTCGTTCAAAAAGATATTAAAATTAAATAAAATATTGTATTTTGGATACAATCTTCAAAAAAAAGTGTAACTTTCTTACAAACTAGAAAAAGGTAGTTGTATCTGGGATCTTACAAATATCACATGGATTATTATTTTTAATCTTCCATTTACACAAATTGTATTTTATTGATAAATATTCTTTGAATGAATTTAAAATTGAACTACTTAATCCTGTTGTCATTTATACAGTAAAATTTACAATAAATCACTGTCTTCCGGTTAAACTCTTTAGGTGAATCACAATAAGCGTACCAAAAATAAATGCACAGCAGATCCTGTTTATTTTTGTCTAACATCTAATCATAACGCTACATCAATGGAGTCACCTGTTACCATATCTATTGTACTGGATTCCAATGAGGACGGTTAACTATTTACATATTTTTTTCTTATTACGTAACTTCTGCAACCAACACATCAGAAATTCACTTTTTAACTTTGCCAATTAAAAGGCGGAAAGAAATTTCATTTTCTTGAAAATTAATATAAATGGAATCAACTTCTTTCCAATTACTGTTTACTAAGACTTGTTTCACTTTAAGAATATTATTTCTTATCTAGTTTGGAAAATGCAATAACTCATTCCCGATTTTAAAATTGCATCATTAATGCTATTATACAAAATCATTTCATTTTCAATATCTGTTACTTTAAACATATCAATATATTTTAATTCAGCCCAGGAACAAAACATGTCGACATAAAAGTTCGGCAACTGTTTTTTTACAAATACGATACAAATCGTTCTTTTTTGCAATTAAAATGCAAACAAAGAGGCAAATCCCCGATTTTCGGGATCCAATATTTAAACGAAATTTTCCAAGCTCTTTGTTCACCTAAAATACTTATACATCCATCATAGACGGAGTGACCGACATGAGATACAGAGATAAAGAGAGTGAGATGGGGAGAGAGAGAGAAAAAGAGAGAGAGAGAGAGAGAGAGAGAGAGAGAGAGAGAGAAGAGAGAGAGAAAGAAAGAGAGAGAGAAGAGAGAGAGAGGAGAGAGAGAAGGAGAGAGAGAAAGAGAGAGAAATAGAGAGAGAGAGAGAGAGAGAGAGAGAGAGAGAGAGAGAGAGAGAGAGAGAGAGAGAGAGAGAGAGAGAGAGAGAGAGAAAGAGAGAGAAAGAGAGAGAGAAGG